GCTGCTTTATCACGCATACCGATCACTGGGGGGAACATAAACAAGCAGATGGGTTTGCTTCAGACCCGCACTTGGTCGCTGTGTTTATTCGCATGGAGAAAAAGACGCCCTTCTTTTGTGGTGGTCACCAAGCACATTTATGCGTAGGGGCGTGCCCCTGTCGCGCACATGTTTTCTTAAATCACAGTGGAAATACGACACGCAGAAGGCATACGTATCTTGGAGGGTTCGTCAACATTATCATTATCATCGATGTGACAACATTGTCAACGATTAGTCGTGCGACTAAAATGGGGTAGTGGGGGTGGGGGTATATCGATTTTATCAACATTGTCAACATGACGTGTATATAATCAGCTTTGGGTCTACACCTACAGCTGGTGGCTGCGAACCACCATGCCTGATGACCCGTGGCAGACCACTGGAAGTGAGATGAACAGCTTGAGATGGAGCACTTCACATAGGTTGGGAGGCGTGGTGATTTTCACAAACGTCCCACTGTCTAAAGTGAACCCGTTGAGATATATATATATATATGTTTCTTTTGTGTGAACTTCTAGAATTTCCACTATAGAGAATGACCGGCCCATATGGCAGCCTGTGCTGAGTTGTCCAGAGGGTTTCTTCTTTCAGATGTTGTACAGATTCAATCTTTATGGCCGCACAGAGTCGTCCCATGGCATTCTCCGCACGCCGCCGCGGTATTCGTTGGGCGCCGTCTTCTTTGCGGTTGGGAGGTTGTGGGAGCGGCAGACGGGCAAGAGTTGAGGATCACAAGCTTCACGTGTGAGGATCGGACGCTTGAAGTGCATGGATGAAGCGTGTGGATTGCATGGTGTGGCGTGTTTCCCTTGTGCGTTGGGGGAATGTGGTATGGGGATGAGATTGGGTATGGGGAAAGTTAAGGAATGTTGGTTGGATGATACGATAGACATCATTGTTTCATATTAGATGTGGATTGTCTCAAGATATTTCATTGGTGATTCGGAACATATCACAATGTCCGCTACTGTAGACTCAAGACATCTCAAGACTCTTGATATCTCGTGGTCTGAAAGAATGAAGAGGTTTGACATGGGTTTGACCATCCATTTTTGGGGGTATGCATGGATGCGTACATGCCCGCAAGTGGGTTTGACCATCCATTTTTTGAGGGGTGTTAGTACGCAAAAGTCCGCACTACTGTTATCTTGTCGTGATTTGGGGCACTGCAACATCCACGTGAAAGGACGGCCTGTCCACTGCAGGACGGCCTGTCGAGATCCTATAGGCAAGAGATGGTACTAGTCACTTAGTCTAGTCGACAGTGTCATTTCTAATTTTGCAGCCTTCGATTTGCATCGAACGCTCTGGATCCTGCGTGCGAACCTACGGTCGAGAGGGAAGCTGGGTGAGAAGACTCAGGACAAGAGGAAAAACCACTTCAGAGACGATGAATTTGAAATCACTTGCATCGATTACTTTTACTAGTTAGATGTATTTGTCAACAAAACCGAGTTTTTGCTTTTCATATTGGTTTTCGAGATCGCTTCCCATTTGACCACATCCTGTCAGCAGAGCTTTAGAGCATACAGATATATCAAGGAGATCGCGCAAGACAAGACCATATGTTGCAAGTGTTTCACTAAGAACGTCACAAGAGAAAAACAGGTTGGGCCCTATTCTTTCTTGCTCTACCGTATGAGCAAAGCACAACCGGCAAACAAGCACTCTTCTTTCCGGTGCGGACATCCTGCGCATCCTGAAGAACGAGATGCCAAACCATGGCCACGTTCTTTTTTGGTTAGTTAGTTTATGTGTTATGCATAAGACATTATATTAACTACATAGTCTTTTGAATGTCGTATCACATGAAACCATGATGTGACTTTTTTTTTTTAGGCGAGTTGATGTCATTGAGAAAGCCTAACGGGCGCCGCAGTGGTTCGTGGGTGGAATAAACATTTGCTGACTGGTCGTCGTTGCCTTTTTGACAAGTTGGGTATCGCATGGACGTCGTAGAGTAGACGCTACACTGCTACGCAGGAAGCATGCTGGTATGAATTGGCTGTGTTGCATGATGGAACCTTTGGTCGCGCCTCCGGACCGATAGTATGGTTTTAGCATGTCAAGCTCCAGACGACTTACTAAGTCAAGGTACACGGTTGTACATCATTCTCACAAAGTTCATTGCAAGTGATTTTGGTTTACTGTGCTGTATATATATATATATTTTTTGTTATAGTTGCATCATTCAACTTCAAGATTTCCCTTTGCCAACACACATAGAGTTTGCATGAGTTTGATGTGTTTGCTTTACACACCAGTGCGTTTTGCTGTCACTGTTATAGTTATAGTTATTTGGTTTGGACAGACACCACTGTCAACATTGAGAATGAACCTGCTTGTCTCGTGAAAAATCGTTTCTCGTGATTCCGTTGATGCTTTTCAGGGCCAAAAACTATCACCGGTGCCTCCCTATTTTTCAGAAAAGTTGGCTCCAGCCTTTCTGGATATGACCAAGAAGCCAGCCATTCTGGGTGGTTGGTCCAGCCTAAAGGGTCAAAAACACATGCTGTGATCTCCACGTTCCTGCTGCTGGCTCGGTGTTCAATTCTTTGGGCGCATGGGACACTGAACAGAACTGACCCGTGCACTACTCTGCGTGATGAAACATGGGGAGTTTGTTGAGGAGGGGCGAAGGTGTTGTGGAAGATGGAGGAAGCAACAGAAAGAGTCTAAGATGCTGTTTTGAAGAAGATGTAAGGATGTAAATCCAAGAGTAGTCAGCTGCGAAGTGGACGCTTCCACCTTTTTGTTGAGCACAGAAGCGCAAGAAATTTCAAAGAAAAGCCTGTGAGTGGCACCTCCCAGGACTCCCCCTGACGCGCATTTCAGGTTCGCCCATTTCTTCAGTTTTGGATCGGCAGAAGCAGCGGAACTCGCACCCGAACTCGGCTGTGTCAGAGCTGGAGGGAATTGTACCGGGTATAGATGAATGTTCCACTCAGTTCATGCATATTCATACTGATGTTTGCATGTGGCATTCTGCCACAGAACTTGCTGCTGGTTCGGTCGCTGCTTGTTGCTGCTTGAGTGGCAGAAATTTTACAACCTCGCCCTCACCAAGTGACCGGGCAGGCTCCACCTCCACAGCCCAGTCTTCGACGTCCAAGGGCGTGGCGTGGCGAAACCTTGCGCCATGGAAGGAACACCTTGGAAACTCGCTGATCTTCTCGAACGGAGGCACTCAATGGAGGCTCCTGCAGACACTCCTGCAGAGCCTAGGTCGAGCCATGCGCAACTGGTTCTTCGGTCGTCCCGATGCGATCAGGACGGTCGTCACTCGGTCGTATGTTCTTCGTCGCAAAAACGTCAGACGCATCGTGGGGGACACCTGTCATGGTTTGGACACTGCCCTGGAAAAGTGGATATAACATAAGCATATATAAACAGTAATATATGATATGTATGATCAATTATGATCATACCTAGGAAGGTATATAACCTTTTAAACCTTTGGATGGGATTGGTGACCCCCCCCCCACCTCCAGACGAATGACAGTTCGGGTTCAGTTCCATCGGTTGGCTCCGGGAGTCAACGGTGTCCAGAAACCGGTTCGGGAATTCAACCGTTTTAGATTCCTCAGGGTTCGCCTCACCAGAAAAAGACACCGAGGCCTTGGAAATATATTATATGTTGAATTCTATTACTACTATTATAGATATAGATTTTAGACCCTGAGAGTCAGAGTCCAAGACTAAATTTTTGAATGCTTTAACGAGTTTCAAACGAGCTTGAAACTACAACAAGTCGATAGAATTGGAAAACTCACTGATATGTGTTATGTGTCCATCTATGTATGGGATAATCCCAGCGTGGAAAGGATTTGTGCTAACAAGGATCTATTAGCAACTCCAAGTCTATTCACGTGGACAGTTGGGAGGTGATTCTTGGTTTGGGACATCCAAGTGTGCAGGCCAATGAGTATGAAGCTGCTTGAAGTGTTTCAGGTTTTGTGGTTACAGAGTACATGGCATTGGCACCCCAAGATGTCTTTTAGATGGGGGTCTATATAAAGCTCCGAACTGGGGGTAACGTGTGCCATCTACTCTTAATCACTACAATGAATTGCATTTACTAGGGTCTCTTGGTAACGTCTGCTGGAGGTGAACCAACGCAACAACAGCACCAGCAGTCTGGTGGATGTTTCAAAACACCCAGCAGGACTGGCGTCCTGACGGTTTGCCTGGGTCGGTCCTCCTGAGTCGTTCAGCGAGTCTCCAATGCGATCGGTCCTCAGAACGTCGCAGAAAGAGACACGCGCGGCGGGAAACGCCGTTGGGGCAGAGCCCCAGCTCTTCCAGTGGGTTAGACCGGGTGTATTTGTGTTTGGGTCATCTCGCGGATGTTGGTGACGATGCAGAAGGAGGGAACTAGAGAATGCCCAAGTTTGGATCAAAAATCTTGATGTGTTTCCTTGGATAGATGAGGGGGTAACTGTGATAAGATCCACCAGCTGAACGGAGTTATTTTGAAGAACACTCTTGCGGTTTCACGCCAGACAAAGGCTTCGCAACTTGATCCACCAGCCGGGCTTTTGTTCTGGAAGAAATCGCATAAGCAGATTGACCCATGCTACTATTACCTCCTGGCATTACTACTAGTAGCAAGGACGCTACTTGTAACAAAGGGCATCGCTACCAGTAGCAAGGACGCTTTGACCCTCTTTGGGGACCGATGGAAGTTGTAATTTGCGTCCGGAAGGCACTCGAGGTGTTTGTTTCACGGTCGATGAGGTCCTGGTGAGCGACGCATGCGAAGCAGCTTGGTTCACTCCAACAACTTATTGCTGTAGAACAGTTGAAGAATAACACCATTGAAAACCCTATGGGTCGGGTTCCAAAACGAGTCGCTTCCTGTGCTTGGAACCTCTTATGGTCGGCTCCATGTTCCAACACCGCCGCTTTACTTACACACACCACGCCGCGGTTACACGTGTGCGTGTTCTGTGCGCCAGGCGTGGTCGATTGGAGGAGGCCAAGCTGTTGGTCCTTCAAGCTTTTCAAGTGGAGTGCTCGAAGGAACGGGCGGATTCGATGGGATGGAGCCGTGGGATGGAGCCGTCTCTGGTCCGTGTTGTTGGTTCCTTCGTTCTTCGGGAAGAACTGGAAGGGGTGGCTCAGGGCGATTGGTCCGGGTCAAGATAAGAGAAAGGAAGCGAAGAGAAACAAGGTGGTGCAACTGCTTACATGGAAATTTACTGGTGGAAATGGAGGCCGCTTTTGTTTGCAGTCGACGGTGGAGCAGTTTTGCGGGTCCGTCTACGTCCTGAACACCGGTTTGGCGACCCACAGAAAGCCCCTTGTTACTTGTAAAAGGAGAAAGGTATTGGCATTGGTATATATAGAATGTTTTTTCTTTCTTGACTGGGTGCTTCATTGGCCCAGTTAGATCCTTCAGTTGGTCCTTCATTGGAAAGACATACATACGTCTACTCTTGCAGTTCTTGGATGCAGAGCATTGGCGGAGACTTCCGATCTCTCGTCCTTGCTACGCTACGCGCTCGTCTGCTGCAGCTGCACCTGGGGGGGCGCTACGCAGCGCCGGAGTAGGCGACGATGACCTGATAGAAACCACATCCCTGGAAGGCTGAGGATGCCCCGACCAAAAGCTGAGGATGGAGGATGCCTCTTAGTGAGCTTGGAACTACAATATTGTAAGTGGCTCTATGTGGATCATGGTACAGGCTTGTAATGGTATTTGGTAGATCCCTTCAAATTATGTTGCGTTGTATACTCTGAAGTAGCCACTTTCTCGCCGTTCTGTTTGCCGGAATCACGGAGGACATCATCAAGCTCTCTTCCATGGCACGTCTTCTTGATTCTTTGCTGGAGCTACACCAGGCGCGGGGTGGCCATGAAGTCATGGGCCATGTGGACCTCCATGGATGGCGTGCCGCACGCGGGCACGCGACGCGGTCGCGCGCGTTGTTCGGAGCGGCGGGTGGAGGACCTCAGGTCGTCAGAGTTTTCCAGGGCCATCCAAGGCCATCGGACGCATGGCATAGGTCCCTCAAGGGGACCGGGAAGAAGTTGGGACACCTTCCCTTTCAGATCTCAGAAAGCTGGAAGTGGTCACCTTCCCCGGGGCGATGTTAAGAACCTGGAGACCGAAAAGGATTTGGGGCTGTTTTGAGCAACCAACATGGTGCCATGTGAAAAAAACGTTCGTCTCAAACCAACAGACTCAAAGACATCGACCACATCGGCATCACATGAAGCACTTCCACCATCGACACCTCGGGCCCCTGCTCGCGGAGGCCACCAGCGATATCTCGGGCTTGGCTGCGTGCCAGGCAGGTCTTCCGGTCGTGGGGTGTGTAGCTCAAATAGGAAGACCTCCCAGGCAGCGACCTGGAAGAACAATCGACGATCAAACCACACCTTCTAACCATCAAAAACCACGTGAGGCTTCTTTTCATTCAGAGACAAAAGCTGATGTGAAGAAGCACATTTCACGAAAAAGAGGCTTTTCAACTCTGTTCCAGTGCTTGCTGGTGCTTCAAAAAGCGTGGCACAGCGTGCTGTGCGCGCGCAGCTCGCTGCGGTGGAGGATGCCATCAATGAGGGCTTGACGAATCTGCAGAAGCGGGGAATTCCCGGCGCAGAGGCACCGGTGAAAGGGATGGGAGGTCATTGGAGGCGGATGCAGTGGATGGATGCGGATAAGATGTGGAAAGCGTGCGGGCAGTGTGTGTGGGGAGGGGAGGAAGGGGATTTCAAGGGGTTTCTGTAGAATTGTAGAAAGATCTGGAGAGTTTTCGATGTTGCATGTTTTCGCTATATGTTGGCCCTGCAAAAGCATCCAGACATGCGAGCCATGACCAGTGAGCCATGAAGTCTGATCCATCCACGTTCCGGTCTCCATGTTCCCCCAGAGCCCTGAGAGAGCTGGGAACTTCTCTTTTTGCGAGGAGACTTGGACACCGTAGGAGTTTTGAATGCACATTGGGCACATTGGTGTCGAGTTCTTAGCAACCAGAGCTTTTCAGAACCAATTGACTATCAATCCCAGTTGGGTACCCCAGATCAACGGCTCTTACGACGGTCACTTGTCACTGGTCACTTAACCTCTCTTGCTTTGGGCCAGCTCCCGGCCGAGCCAGCGACGCTCGCGCCTCGTTCGGTCCTGGCAGCCTCAGGCGGCCAGCTATGCTGCGCTGCTGCAGAAGATCGCCACGATGTTGACGCTCGACGTGGAGAGCGAGGGTGGATGTCGATCATCTTCCGCTCGGGGAGGGCGGCGGCCGTTGCGAAGTTTCCACCGGATAGAGTGAGCGGCGGGATTGAGGGCGGTGTGGGGGAGGGTTTGGGTGCGAGCGACGAATCGGAGCCCATTGCGGTGTGTGTTTGTGTCTTATAGAGTAAGGGTGCCTAAGGGTGCCGAGAGAACTCCTGGAGACGTGACCGACTCGGGCGACGTGCCGAGTCGCTCTCCCGACACACCTCGCTGTGACACCAATGAGGGTCTTCAAAGACACATGATGTGACCTGAACATGGAAGCCACCAAAAGAGAACTCACACCCTATCACACCCGGCCACCGAAGTGGAACCAATCCCTTTCGGGTCCGACTTGCATTTAAGGTTAATAGTCGACTGGACTTTGAGTGAAATCCCCGAGCTGCTTTCCGGCGGATGCTGCGGGGGAGAGCAGAAGTTCTTGGCACGTTCCGGGCGATCTCAAGGATGATTTTTTTGACACTGGCGTGTTTAGAGAAATTACAAATTTCATCTGAAAATGATGGGTTAATTACACCTCAATGTATCCTCGATAGTGACGAAATACCGTTGAATACAGAGGTACAGTGACCAAATAAACATCATGATCCAAACAAGTTGATTAAGGAATTAAACAATATCATTCAATCATCTAAATGTCAAAGTTTCACCAGAAAGTGGTTTAAGATAGTACCTCACCAGCGCAAAATACATTTAGCAATTGTAAACATCTTACATGTTGCGATAGTCAGGCAATTAACATCTTCAGACAAGACCAGTTTCCCTTTTTCAGGGTCTTGGAAAGCGGTGAATGTTCCATCCTCCCCCATTCTCCGATCCTTCTCCACTCTTGGACTTCTGGCGAACACCGAACACTCTCCCCTCCAAAAGAAGAAAACCAACCAAAAGGGTTTGATTGGAGAGAAGGTTTGCCCTCCCTCCCAGGCTGCGCCATGATGAGGGACACAATCGCCCCGGAGCCATCGAACTCCTGGAGGAAGGCGCCGCGCAGCAGTGCCGCGCAGCAGTGCCGCGCAGATCCGCGCCACGCGTGGCTCATGTCGGATCGTGTCGTGACGTCGGTGGTTTTCCTTCGTGAAATGGGGTGGTGCGCTTGGCTTTCGCCTTGAACTACCTGTGGGCGACTGTTCCGGGGGGGGGCGAGGGCAAGGGAGGACGGTTGTTGGGAGATGACTGGAGCGACACTGGAAGGAGATGATTTTTGGTAGGAGAAGGATTGTTGGGAGGCGTCCGCAAAGAAAGTTGGTTCAATAGTGGTGATGTGTCTGTCTTCCGTGTCATCCATGGATTTTACTAGTATCTCCTTCTGAGGTGAGTAAATGTCTTGGATACCAGTGGATGGCATATGCCTGGTATAATATAGATGGTATATACTTTCTGTTTATGCAAGCTATAGGCCTATGATAGAAAGGTGACTTATACTGCTATGGAACACTGTTGCAGAAACATCCGCCTTGAAGCACATGTGTTCTTTTTCGTGCGTTGTCATTGTCATGACGGTGCCATCGTTGATGACACCTCAACAAACGCTGGAAAGGTATAGTTTCATGCCTTGTGTTTTTTGTCTCTCTCTCTCTTACTCTTCTGGTATTATTTCTTCACAGGCTTCTTATTGCTTTTCTTGTTTTTTTCTTGGCTTTGTGGGAGCCAAATCCAAACAAATCGTCTGAATCTGCTGAAAGAGACGACGGCAATGACACCCGCTCAAGTTGAGACTCCAGATCATCTTCGTGATCTGAATCACCTTTGGAACCTCCAGCTGGTTCATGCTCTCTACCTGAGCCAGGCAAAACGGCAAACAGGAACACAATTCACACACAAGGAACCCCTTCGAATCCGAAGCCCTAACAAGAACACCTTGTGAAACGCGACATGGTGACTTGGCGTGTTAGGTCCTCAGCCACTTGTGGTGTAAAAGCTTCTACCATTGCAGCTCGAACTCTCTCATCGGGTCTCCCGCTGCAGTCCTGGGCGCAGTTTGACAATCAATGTTGCCAGACTGAAGTTCTGTTTAAGAACCTCAATTAATCCACGTGGATTGACACCTGATGTGGTCCGCTTCACACACTCCTTTGATCCTGGAAAGCGTATTCCGCAATCTCAAAAAATCTGGAAAGTCATCAGTGGTTGGTTGGTTCTTCTATTATGATTTACTTCACAAGACAGTCTCAGTATGGTCTAAAATGCTTTGAAAAGCAGGTTTTGCTACTATGCTTTGCGGATACCGGAAAAATCTGTAGATGTCACCTCGTCGTCCAGGGCAGTAGTATACCTAGAAGATCCTTTGGGCAGAAATTATTGCCTTTTTTGGAAAGAGCGGCTCTTCCCGTCCTGGGGCGGAAATCAGCTGTTTGCCGCGGAAATGTGTTTGTTGCCGCAAATGTTCCCTTTCAGGAATCCAGTGAGACAAAGACTATACATAAATTCTAGAGGAGTTGAATATTTTTGTGGCTTACATTGGGCATTTCTGCCTGGAACGGTCACCGCAATGAGAAAAAGCAATTTGCAGCGCTTAAGTTTCCACCTCCACCTGCAAATCTGGCTACCATCATATCATATATGTGTCTTTGTTTTTGAAGGTTTCTTGTGCAGAATGAGCACAAAAGGACTAAAATCCGTCCAAAGTTGAATCCACCTGGCGCGAAAATGTCCTGGAAAAAGGCAGAAATATCTGTGAAAAAGGCGGAAATACCCGGGAAAACGGTGGCAATACCCGGGAAACCGGCGGAAATTTCCTGGTAGAAGGCGGGATTCAGGAACAGTGCCTTTGATGCCTTTGAAGGGCTTGAACATATGTCGCAGCCTCTTTGTGAATGTCATGAATCTAGAAACGTCAAAATCGTAGGGTGTCAGATCTTGAGATGTGAAGCTATGTCCTTGCAGAACGATATGTGGTCTGTTTGCAATCATGGAAGAGACAACCTGGTTGGTCTTAGGCAGTTGTAATGGTTTTCGAGTTGCTATGTTGGATTTTGCTTGAGGCAAAAATTCCCTGCTGCCCGCAATCCGCGAATCCTCCCGGACAAATCGGACTGAGGCAGAAATTTCTGCCCCAGGTGCTTCTAGGTATGCACTTTCGGCGACGACTGATTTATTTTGATTTATTTAATTGTTCGTATACCGAACAACAATTGTTTTACTGAAGGATTTTAGGTGTGCAAAGTTTAAATAATGGCTTTGGAAGCCTGGAGACTGGATGTTTAACAAATGTTGGCGTTGATCCAACGTGGAATGGAACTTCTTGGTGTTCCGTTTGTGAAGTCTTGTTATTTGCCTTCAGACTAGCGCGCCAGTCACTCCCACAAAAAGGCAACTCCACGTAGGGACAGGGGGGGTCCTTTTGTTCACACAGTGCATGTAAGAATGACCATTTGCCCAAGGATGCTAATCTAATTATTTGGAGAGCTGCAAAGAATCGCATGGTTTGCTCTCCCTCCAGTCTAAGTATGTGTGTATATATATATATACATGTAAATATTGTGTATACCAGGACCCTCCAACAGGTCACCACCTGCGACTTTTAAGTCTGCAAAAGCCTCCACTTCGGATACCTGTTGGAAGGCGCTGAAATTGGACACATACACCCAATTGAAAATGAATGAAATTTATACAACACGTGCGTTATATTTATATAGACATATTCAAGGTCATTATGCAAAATTATATGAAATTATGCGCATCAGTGCTGTGCAGTTCTTCACCAACTCGAAATCGAATATGAAGACCGACCATAAACACAGAGGCACAGCTAGCAGGTGGGTACTCGCATGTACCTGACAGGTCCTGCAACGGAACTGCGGCTTTGACCTGGACATGGACGGAACACGCCGGTGAACTGGTCACATTTCAATCAACTAGATTGGAAGATGACTCTGAGACTCCCAGAATATTCAAGTAAGTCAGTGTGTGTATATATATATATGTAATGTAATGTAATGCAATGTATTGTAACGCAATGTAATGTAATGTATATATGTATGCACGAAAGATAGACAGACAGACAGACAGGCAGATAGATAGTAAAGATAGAAAAGACAAGAAGAGAAGAGAAAATAAATAAATAAATACATAAATGAAGAAAGGAACTAATAAAGAAAAGGAAGGAAGAATAAAAAAGATAGAGCAATGGAAAGAACAAAGACAAACAGTACAGAAAGAAATCAAACAACATATACAGTAATATATATAGAGATAGATGGATAGACAGGTAGACAGATAGAGGCCTCATTTTCGAACAGACCGCTTTAGGCAGATTTTGAAAGGTAATCTTACAACCGTTGTCTTAGGTTCTGCTTGGTGTTCAGGTGAACCGTTGTTTCCCGCACCCTACCAGGCCTCCCATTTTCCATGGCGCCACCGCAAGTGGTGAGATGAATACCCCGAGCAGGGGGCAACTTAGTATCTGCCTATGGGCTGGGCTCCTATGCCCGAGATCAGCTCAAGGAGATCGTTCCTGGCTTGCGGAATGGCTTCCCGAGATTTCACCGGTGACATAACGTACATACCTGTGACCTGAGGCGGCTTTGTCCCTATACTTGGGCGAAGCTGCAGCGTGATTTCCCTGGATTTTGGCGGTGCATCAATGTCACGCCGCAGTGCATTACTCACCAGTTGCGCGAGGACAGACAAATATTTTCACCAGGCAGCGTCATGGACATGTGTTGGAATGTCACTTTGGGCGCATGGCCTTTGCCAACTGGTCACAGGAAGCCAGAAGGTGAGCGCAGCCTTCGCGCTTTTTCTTCGGCTGAGACTCGTCACCTTTTTGGAGGCCATGGTTGCCAGTGACGTGTGAGTGGAAATGCGGAGGCAGGTCTGAAAACCAATACCAAGCGCATGTTTTGTTTCCGATGGCTTGAGCATGCCTTTGATGTTGGCGTGTAGAGTTTACTCATGCATGACTGGCGCTTTTAGGGTGATCGCAGCAAGCTGTGGCAGCGGCGCCTGCAAGATCCGTGTTGAAGAATTCGGTGTTTCGTTCGATTGGGGTCATGGCTTTTCTGCCGGACCTCAACCGCCAGCTCCCGATCGCAATTTGCGCTGCCGGACCTGAGCCACAAGCGCCAGATCGCAGTGGGCACTACTGGACCTCAACACACAACACATAGCCACAAACACACTATACACAATACACAACAAAGCACAACCACAATACACAAGCGCAAACAGACAAAGCACGAACACAATTACAAACACACAACCACAAACACGCAACCACAAACACAACCACAAACACAATCACAAACACACAACCACAAACACACAATCACAAACACCACAAACACACAACCACGAACACAACCGCAACCACATTCACAAACACACAACTACAAACACGCACAACCACAACATGCAACCACAAACACAGAAACCACAAGCGCAACCACAATCCTCAAACACAACCACACGCACATGACAACAATGTAACTACCTGTGTGTGTGGCATTTTGTGGCGCAGGTGGTCACAGGGTAGCACTTTTGGATGCCAACTGGAGACCCTGGTGACACCCCAACGCGAACTCCCTAACACTAAAATAGCAATCCCACAAAACTCACGACCATGACCATGGCAACATACTCCTCACCATGGCATGACTTCAAATGTCATGGTGGGGATCGCTCGACGTAAAGTAAATGCTTTTCGCTGCGCTGGCTGGCTGGTATTTCTGCGTGGGTTGCTTCGGTTGGGGGTGTGTGGGTTGATGCGCCGTTGGTTGGTTGCTGCGTTGTTGCTTCAATTGGTGGGTAGGTTGTGAGTTGTAGTGGTCATCGTAGTAGTGGCAACAGAAATAGTTATGGTGGTAGTACTTCATAAACTACCCGTAGTCTACTAGTAGTAGTCGTCGTCGTCGTCGTCGTAGTGGTAGTGGTAGTGGTAGTGGTGGTAGTGGTAGTGTAGGTGTGATTGTGAGAGTGCAGTTTTTTTGATTTCATTTGTTGCTCAAAGATTGAACTCTTCACTGACTGGACTGTAAAAATGCAGTTGTTTTAACTCAAGGGCAGCTCATGGAAGATTCCGATTCCATCATTATTCCAAGTGAATTATACGTTTTTCTAAATTAGTTTTTGCTTTAAACCATTTTACGTGCAATTTATTGGTTGCGTAATTTCCTTAATTTCAATGTAATTGTTTGTACTCCTGGCGGCCAAGCCGACTTCTCGATGCGCGCGATCTTGTGGCATCAGGTCGATTGTTCGACCCAAAGAGGAAGTCCGCAAGGCAACCAACAGGTCTTCTCCTGCAAAATGACGGGTTTTGACAGTCTATCAAAGCTTTCGCAGGGAAATTGGCAAGTTGATTTGTATTCCCCTCCCTTCGCCAAGGTGTATTCCGTGATGAAATCGAGGCCCCTTTGCACCTGCGCACCAAAGGTGATGTGTAGGCAGGTCATACAACCACCCCTAGACAGTTAGATGGACAGATAGATATAGGTAAGATAGACAAGAAACTTTTAAGAAAACATAATAAATACTTACAAATAGAATACAATAGATAGACGTGGGGTTCTGTCTCTCCCTTTGGAAGGTCCAAGAATCGTCATTCCACCGTTTGCAGGTCTTCAGTGGCTCCGAAGGCCTAGAGAGTCCAGGAGTGGAAGGCTCAACGGGGGGCCATCCAGTGGAGTGGGATTGGTGACCTCCAAAGTTCGGTTCAACTGCTCAAAGTGGCTCAGGACGTGACCGTCCTTGAGTCTTCCCAGGCCTTAGTTAGAGGGTCACGTGACACGTGACACGTGACAAAAGGACCTGTAAGTTCGGTCATTGGATGGGACTCCAACAAACGTGATTTCTCTGTAGATCAGAAGAGGCCCATCCACCTGAGATTTGGTCCGGATCTTCCTTGCGCCAGTTCCGATCTGCAGCAACATGCACCACACCGAAGTGGATGGAACGAAAAGCAATCGGAAAGCAAACAGAACGGAACGGACGTGACTGCTTTGAAGCTGCTGGTACATATGGTTTTTTGTCATGCTCCCTCTCGGCTTCTTTTCAATTTGCATCGACCAACTGTTGTTTTTTTTGGCGATGCCTTCTCCTTGACAAGATCCATCACTGAGGAAACTAGAAAAAGGATTGACCTCGTGGCCCTGTTGAGGCAGTTTTTCCGGGCGACGGTGAACAACCTGTGGTTATTCGGACTGAATTCCAGATACTCAGCATGTTCATTGGCATTTTATGACTGGAACAGGGAAGACATTATTGGGGATTGTGCCATCTACTCTGAAACCACTGTAAGATTTGTTTCCCTTTGGTTCGAGTGAAGGTCATTGGTGAAGCCTCACCCACGCAGCCCAGCAGCACTCACCACTGATGCGAGTGGAACCTAGGAGTGAGGAGGAGGCGGCAACGCAAGACGAGGACCGTGAGGTGTGTGTGTGTGTGCGTTCTCCAGAGATTGTTCCGAGGATTTTGTAGGGCATAACGGTGAGCGCATACCAATCATGGACATCAACACCTAAATTGCTATACCAGGGTTCCTACTAGCAGACTGTTTCAGCCGTGTACTTGATAGCATTTGCAGAGATGCATCCATTTCCGAATCGGCCTGTAAAACCGGATGCATCCGGATGGATCCCTCCTCCTCCCGCCTTGTCTTCGCTGGTTTCAAAGCCTTGTGACACATGTTCCGGTTTGGGGGTCAGTCCTTTTCCAACGGCACTTGGGTCAGAGCACGAACGGCGGGGTGGTTGACCTGGGGTCAATGTGGGCATCAATACCATACATGCATGGTCCGGGGAAGCACCAAAAAAGCGGAACCTGCTTTGGTGTTTTTGTTTCGCCTCGTGTTCCTAGTAGTAATGCCAGGAGCTACTAGAAGCTTCTTGCTACTAGTAGAAATGCCCTTGTTACGGGCGCCCTTCACTTGAAAACCCGGGGAGCTGGGCTCGGCTCTCTCCTGTCCCTCTCACGTCCCACGTGGTCGGGTTCAGTCGAGGAGCGACACCTCTATATGCCGAAGGCGTCGGGCAGCTGGGTCGATGGATCTGAGGTACGGTGGCTCCATGTAGGTGCCAGGAGGCTCGGTATGGTGGCGATCCCCTGAAGCAGCCGGTGACATCTTCTCCGAAAAGGGTTTTAGATGTCACAAAACAAACACGATCAACTTTTGGCCCGATCGTGTTTGCCCCAGATGTCAGAACAGTGACATCTTCTCTTGTTGATCTCATTCCATTCGTTCCTAAACACGATCCACTTCCGTCACCGGACCGCGCGGAGAGAGAGCTGGAGATCCGTGGTGCGGGCGGGGGCTTTCGCCTTCGATGGGGACTGGAATATGACAACACGGGATGACGCGGGGAGACAGTTTATAAGACGATATGGGTAGTAGAAGGGGTCGTAGCCGCAGTGACTGGGTGAATTTCAGGGCCGGGGTGGAAACCTGAGGTTCCAGCACTTCCATCTGGCAATAACTTTGGGGGTTGCTTCAATAGGGGGTGGTTTCAATTGATGGAAAGCAGACGTTCCATCTGAAAAATTCATGACATTTCAAGTGAGGGTAAAACAAGACATCCAGGAGTATTCAAGTGTGCTGGCAATCCATTTAAGGCAGTTGGACTGAATTGCCAATATCTCAGCTCATTTCAGGGCTCAAGGCCTGCTGGGGGCAGGCTTTGATTTGTTGGTTGGAGAGCCATACCAAGCTCCAAGAGAGGGGGGTGTCAGGGAAGAGAGGGATCCCCTCATGAAGTCTTGGCAATCCCAGTGCATTGGGGTGCTGAAGCAAATGGGAGGAAGTCGGAGGGACACCCATGATCCACTCACTCAAAGTTTCTAAAAACCATCCTCGGCATGGAACTCCTGGGATCGTTGGGGTCATTCAACACCGTCTCCGAACCCGGACTTCCGCCCAGTTCCTTGGCCCGGTCTGCCCCCTCCACCGGAGCCACCGGAGCCTCCGGGTGTCAGGGGCTTTCACGGCGACCGGGCCGGGCCCCGCGCGCGGGGTGTTCAGGCGGGTCAACAAGAACTCGCGGTGGATCCGGCAGCCTTGGAGCGGTCCATCGAGGCACACCGGGCCGTTGGGAAAGCCACGCGTGGCGGCTGCATCGCTACTAGGTTACTAGGGGATTCTGGTGACGTTCGTAGCTTCTAGCTACAATGGCCTCCAACCTAATAGCGGCCTCCAACCTAGTAGCTTCTTGTTACTAGTTGGAACGTTGTTTTTGAACGACACTTGGCCCCAACTGCCAAGCAGCAAGGGGTCTTTTGGGGGGGGAGTCATCCGAACACTTGGACCTGTTCGGAGCTGCTCGTCGTCCTGAAAATGTGTTTCATGAATGTCAAAGAGTAAATGGCAACCTGTGACCTTTTACATGTTCATGAACGGCAAGGACACCAGGATCCGCATGTGATTCCCTCTGTGATCCCCTCTGTTTTTAGGTTTGCCCAAAAAAACGATCACACCACTGCAAGGATCAGTTGCAGCACTTGCGGCAGATCACCCTCTCGGGACCAGTCTCAGAGACACCGCAGGCGCGGAGTGTACGGTTTGCGCGTGTGACGGAAGGATGTGGGGGTCCAGGCTCTCAGTGAAGGAAGCGTTTTGGGTGATGAGTCTTGCAAGGGTTTGGTTAAGTAAGTGGTAGATTCGATGCGTTGCTCAGGCCTCAACGCCAAAGGCACAGGTGAAGAACAGAAAGCAAGTATGACATGGATCCATGACGAGAACCACAAGTCTTCGGTGATATTCAGGTACTGTCTATGGCCCTTCATGTTCTCCGGCCAAATCCCATATTCTGACTGGTTTGCTCGATGTCCGTCCTGTGACGATGGCGATGGCGATCCGCCCTCCGTCAGGCCGCCGCGGCCGCGCGTTCCTCGCCGCCCACGGACTTCGAAGTGGTTCCTTCGGAGCGGAGACCGGTCTTCGTCCGTCGAGTCGACGGGGAGCAGGGCAGGGAGGAGCAGAGGAGCAGAGGTGGTGTGTGGTGGTGGTGGAGGTGGTGTGTGGTGTTCTTTTTCTAAAAATCCCGTGGGCAAATAGAGAGTGGTTGGCGTTTTCTATCTATTTGGGGAGTCTCTATATCAAAATGTTGAGGTTTCGAGGGTTGGAATTCGGTTGAAGTTGTGTGTGTGTGTGTGTGTGTCTTCAGATGATTTCAGATGTTAGTCTATGAGATGCCTAGCGCATGGGTTGGAATGAGGGACCCATATGGAAGCTGCTTGAAGATCCAGGATCAAAAGACCACTCGGACCACCACCGGCTTTGGGGTGCGGTTTCGACGGGCCAGATCTCAACCTCTCAACCATGTGCCGCTTCGTCGACAACCATTGAACGAAGCAAATGGTTGGATTGCAAATTGGATCAAATTGGGTAAAAATACATCGTCAGATGACAGAAGACTGATGATGACCTGTCAGTGGAACAGCGTTTGGTTTGGGATGCTTCTGAACGAAGGGGTTCCCTTTGGGGCTTTCCAGGAAGACGGGGGCAGCTTTCTTTGTTGTGGAAGGCGATGGTTCAAGCCATCCTGTATCAAAATGGGTGGTGTTCTGAATGGCGCTTTCATGCGCGCACCTAAGCACCCAAAGGATGTGACAAGGTGAGCTGTTCTGATGTTGTTCCCTTCATCATTTCTCATTTGGATTGAGGGTAGATTGGGACAACATGGCACAATCAGATGTCAATGACACCCAGTTTGGTGCTTCATAGCTGCCTTCCGAAAGACCCCCATCTGATGGGGGTGCTTAGCTTTGCGCCGAACACACCTCTGAAACCACAAAAAAACCAGAGTCAGGTCGTCCGTGTTCTTCGGCGTTCTTTCCTTCTCGAGGTCGATGATGCCGTAAAGTCTCCCATGTGCTTCACAGCGGTGGATTGAGCAAAAGGGCGCGCCGCTTCCGTGGGCAGTGCGACGCGACGTGGAACGACGCGACCGGGTGAGGCGACCAGGCGACCACCGACTGGTGGGTCTGGGTTTTAGGACGTCGACGTAGACGTCACATGCGCTGCCTGAGCTTTCAGCCAAGAGCTTGGTCTCTTGGTCTCTAAATCTTGCTAAATGGCATCACGCGACAGGAGGAGACCACCTTGGTCTCTACAATTGGTTGGGTTCGCTTTCAGACGTAACGGCAGTGCAACACGGGGATTTCCTATGAATTCCCAGCACTGGACAGCTAGAAGTTTCATTGAACGTCGCCCCTAACGTGCGGAGGTGCCTATGGGAAAACTTCTTGTGATGAGCGTCTGGCACAGAGGGTGCACAGCGTTTTGGATGAGAGACTGGCCATTTTCATCCATACTAGCCATAGTACTAGCCATTTTGATCCGTTTTGCATGTTTAGCCAATTGGTGTGTGAGTGTGGGTGTGGGTGGGTATCGCGATGTTTCGTGTGTTTCCATATCAAAGTGCGAGTTTTAGCCATGTTGGATCAGCCACTTCCTCTATAGGAATGGAGCAATGGAGATTATAACGGTTGCAGGTGCCGTTCTCACCCAGCTTCAGGAGGAAGAATTGGGCTGCATGGTGGAGAGTGGAAAATATGTTAGAGATTTGAAGACGCTCATTGCCACAAAGATTGGATATTCAAGATTTCGACTTAGACTCTTGAGCAAAGAGATGGGCGAGCTACAGGATGATATGCCTGTCAGACCACTACCAAGTTTGCAGTTAGTAATCTTGGACTACTATGCGCCTGAGGAGGCCAATTGGCACGCACTACACTTTGCATGTCAGAACAAGCGAGTTGTCGAAGTTACACGTTTGCTTCAGAAACCACTGAATCCTAACTGGACAGGTGCAGACATTGACCTTCCTGCACCTATTCTTTTCGCTGCAAAACGGGGCCATTTGGAGGTGGTGCGGCTGTTGCTCGAGGCTGGAGCTGACCAGAACGCAGCAAGGCAAGACGGGGCAACCGCCTTGGGGGCTACAGCTTTCAATGGCCACTTGGAAGTGGCGCGGGTGTTGCTCGAGGCTGGAGCTGACCCGAACGCAGCAAGGCAAGATGGGACAACCGCCTTGATGGTTGCAGCTCTGAATGGCCACTTGGAAGTGGTGCGGGTGTTGCTCGAGGCTGGAGCTGACCAGAACGCAACAACTCAAGACGGGGCAACCGCCTTGATGTTTGCAGCTCACAAGGGCCACTTGGAAGTGGTGCGGTTGTTGCTCGAGGCTGGAGCTGACCCGAAGCCAGCAGATCAAGATGGGACAACCGCCTTGACGCATGCTGCTTGCAATGGCCACTTGGAAGTGGTGCGGGTGTTGCTCGAGGCTGGAGCTGACCCGAAGGCAGCAGCTCAAGATGGGACTACCGCCTTGATCCTTGCGGCTGAGAGTGGGCAGTTGGAAGTGCAGCAGCTGTTGCTCGAGGCTGGAGGTCACACCATCCGCACTCCTCCAGGTCCGGGTCGTGATCGACCGGACCGCTCGCGATCGCGATAGACCCAAGGACTCCGATCGCGTCCGCCGGTCGTGTGTGAGATGTGCTGGGAGACTGGTTTCACTGGGATTGATCTCGAAAGACAACAAATAACCATCAAACACACATCAAACGATTGGATGGAGAAACATGTTACATCTGCATTCACCACGGACAGACCCAGTGGTTCTCTTTTGCGGCTTTGGGTGATCGCCGGTTAGATGATCGGAGGGCATTTCAATGAGGTTTCGCAATTAGCTAGGCTGGAACGTGTCACACCTGAGCGGTGTGTGGTGTAGAATGACGGCAAACATCCGCAAACCATGACGGAAGGGTTCTGACAATGGGCCTGAGTATTTATATCAACACATCCAGCTCAGAAGGCTCTGCCCGCCTTGAAGTTGGCACTTCAGAAGTGGTGGAAAGAACCTCGTTCAGTCCCAGGTCCAGTCACCTGCTCCAACTGACCTCCTTGGATAGTGCGAACTTGTACCAACTCCAGTATCTCATGGTCATTGACCTGTTTTTTTCTTGCGATTGTCCCATGAACTTCAGCTTCTTTTCGCATGCTGCTTGGCCGGGTCCAGAGACTTCCGGCAGAAACTTCTTCACAGATGAGACCGACAAGCTCTTGGATCAAGGGCGTCGACTGAAAAAATTCAGGGCGTGACAAGGCTCACATCCGAAGATACGTTCCATATACGTTCCATCACTTGCCCAGACACTCCATGGGACTGGTATATTTACCTACATTGGAGTGGTGACAGGGGGGGTCAATGGGGCGGCAGTCCTATGGCAGTCCCATGGAGTGTCTGGGACTTGGATTCACTTCGAGGATCCTGCTAAAGAATGAACAGTTGGTCAGACTGAGGTTCTTGGGTAGCAGTCCCATGACCATGGTGGACCCCGTCCAGTCACATCCCACAATGGCTTCAGGCGGAAAAAAACAATTTGGGCAACTCTCAACCAAAATGCTTGGGTGGCGAAATTCTCCGAGTTTTCTCTTTTGGGTTTTGGGGCGAACATCACCATCCAGATAATCCACTTATATGTGTTCGTTCTCTCTTCCCCTTTGCGAAAGACACCGATCAAACCATCCCGGACATCGCGAGCTCTCGCGCCGTCGCCATGTCCGGGGCGCCCCCGCCACGCCCCGGCGTGTGGCTCTGTCGGCGATCCTCGCGCTCGGTCGCTGCCTTGCCGGGGGACACGGTGAACGCACCGGCCGGGGGTCGGCGGGAAAGCGCTCGAAGGGAAGCAGGAAAGCATGCTTTCGTGCCATGTGGAGTGGCATATTGGCCAGAAATTTGCATGAAGTTCTGGCCATATAGACCATCCTGTCGTTCCATAGGCCATATATGGCCTATATATATGGCGCCTATAGTTCCAAAATTGATCGTTCCACACCATCAGAGCTCTATGCAAAGAAATGGCTGGTTCCAAAAAAGGATCCAGATGCAGTGTTGAAAGGATCGTTTGGGGGGCCTGCACTTCTCTTCCAACACCTACCCCGAAGTTCACCTAACTTGATGGCGCGGATGGGAGAAAGAAAACCAGCGAAGCCAGTTGAGGAACTCCAGCTTCACCAAAAAAAAACGTCCTAATTCTGTGGATTCTTGCATAGATTCCTTGATGATTTCATTCTCGCACCACCTCCGCCTTTGTTCTCATCCCCATCTCCGCATGCTCTTCTCGCTCCAAGTCCGGCGGCCTATTTTCTCTGGCCCGTAAGTTCTATGTCTCCGGTTTCCACTTTTGAGAGGTGTAGGAATTTCCACACTTCGGACCAAAACGAAACTCTGAGAAACGATCCTTAAAAACCGGCATTTAATCCTTAGCTGTATATGATTTGTGGGAGTAGGACGATGAGCTATGTGCATAATATCGTCATCTTGCTTGGGTTCATTAATCGGAAAGTACAATGATAACTGCTAGGTAGTCTGTTAGGTAACAGGTATACTTCCATGCTATACAAGACCGGTCAAGGATTTCTCCGAGTGTTCGTCCACCCCAAACGATGAACGGTCGACCCTCGTCCTTCTGTCTGAGCGAGTCAGCGGGTTTTGAGCGAATGGGATAGATCAAGTCCTGGAAAAAGATGGACCGTATCGTTGGGTGGTGTTGGGATTCCTGAGAACCAGGAATTCTGATCTTCGGTGAGTCTATCAGGATGGTGATTCACATGTCGAAGCAGCCATGTGGATGGGTGGCACTTCTCAATGAATCCCCAAAGTCTCCCCTGAAAACCTCTGGAGAAATGGCACCCCCAGGATCGGCGTTGCTTCTGCCAGTGGCCCACCCTTCTTTAAGTGGCCTGCATCCTGAACAATCATTGGTTTTACCCGGGATTTTACACTACAACACATTACCTGGACCTTCCAAAGGGTGTCCAATGGAGATCTCTCAGTAGTGTGTGCATGAATTCTATATTATTTATGGGGTTGCAATAATATTATTAATGATTCAATGGCAACCCCAATTATATATTTTCTCTACCCGCCATTTACTTTCATTTATTATCTTTAGACAAAATGGCGGGGTTATTATCTTGTTATTAATGGCTTTTGACCTTTGGGAACGATAAATTCTAAGATAGCCGGGGTTCACTCTTCTAATTTATTATAGATTCATATTATTTTCTATCATATTATTATTCATGAATTATTAAGAAGCATATCTTTATTATTCGTATTTTATGATTAATATTATCATGCATTCTCTTATATTTATCATTCTATCCTTATCATTTATGGCGTAGCCAATCTATCCTGTAATTTATACCTTATGATTTTGCTTTTTCTACAGTCAATTTCCTTTATTTTAAGGGGTTCCTCACTCTCATATTATTCTATCATTATATTATTCATTACCATCAATCCCATATATTTATTATACATTGAGCACCATTATCTTTTATATAATTCTATGGCTGTTATAATGTCTTTAATCCTTATTATTCTATCTAATGGTTCAGGAAATCTTTTATTTGACTATCATCATTTGTTTTCGGTTTCCTATTCGCGGTCTAAGTCTTCTAAAAAAATGGATGGTTTTTATTATTGCTATTCTTGTCTTTCATGTTCATTAATTCTCCAAAAGGTCATAAAGAAAGCCACAACCAATGAACGCTTATATGTGGGCTTCCTGCCAGGTGACCCCTTGGAGGGTGCTGGTAAACATTACAAAACCAGCATCCTTCCCAGTTTTAAAAGGATCAGACCCCCCCGAACCGTCCGGTACTTCTCGGCTTTTGCCACGTGGCCCCACGGCCACCGTCCGAGGCCCTCCGAGGAGACGGGGCGGCACCGCTTCCTCGTAGGCGCCGCTTCCGCGTCCGACCTGGCCGGCGCGACCGTCCCGGAACCCTTAGAAGGTCGATCCGTGACGAAGGCCAGTTCGGCCTCAAACATCTTGGGGTGCCCCAAACTGATACCTGGACCCTCCGTTTTCGGGGTGTCCAATTTCTGGACTACCCCACACGGATCCGGCCGAGGCCGAAAAAGGCTTCCAGACAGGGTGTGCCCGAAAACGGAGGGTTCTGGTAGTCTTTGGACTTTCTGGGGCTTCTGTACAGTTCGGGGCGGCAGGAGCCTTAAACATGGCTAGAAAGTCTTCATTCTTCCTCGAGAGGCATCGAGGCATCTGATGCTGGAGACGTGACGGCGAGGATGAGCCAAGTTTCTCACCGGCCCCACAAAATAGATCAGCCGATGGTCATAAAGGGTAGACTCCACAGTGGTGCAAATCCATGACCAGCCTTTGGTTGCAGCTGCAGCTGCAGCTTGACCCTCAAGCTTAGCGCACCTTTCTGCACACCGAGTCCGGTCTCCTTCCGAAGGCACCTGCGACCTGAACAGCCCGAATGAGATCCATTTGGTCGGGGGCCTAACCGCCAGCCGCCCGGGCTCGCGCCCGGGAGCAGACCCGTCACTCGCCCGGGAACCTCTGTTTGTTTCAAGTCTTGACCCAAAAAGAATCTGATGCGAGACCAGTGGAATTGGAGCAAACCAAGCAAGTTAACGGCTTCTTTCCGGTGGCTTCCTGAAGCCAGGGCACCTTGTACGCATGAGAACAACCTGACTTCTATTGACTTCTATGCCATGCGCGTTCCTGACGCCCTGGCCATGTTCCACTTTCGATCCACGTTGCTCCGATGAAGGCCCCGAAAAAGCCCGAAGGCACCATCGAGATCTCGCCCATCGCGCTGCGATGGAAGACGGCTTCGGCTTCGACCTTCGACCCATCGCGCCGCGCCGCCGTCCCCGAGGTCCCGGACCCCGCACCGAGGATCGAGCGGGACACATCGACCGTTGCGCGGCGAAGCGAGCGGCGCCCGAAGCGGCGAAGGTGGAGTTTGCGGAGGAGACGGCGGAGATCGCCTGCCGGGCCGCCCAGCTCGCGCGTCGAGCGGGTCGCGCGGGTTGGGCGGGGGCAGGTGGGGGGGGGCGGCTAGCCCCGTGGAGTGGTGCGACGGTGCGGCGCGTAAGAGGCGAAATGGGTTCGGTCGATTTGGAGTGAACATCGGGGCAGAGATCAACGTGGAAAAGAGAGGCCCTGGAAAAAAGTAATTAAGCTATATACTAAGAGTTTAAACCCCAGCTTACGGGACAGGCGACGAGCTTGAGCCAGCGATCGATTTGTTTGGGTCGTGTGACCCCAGCCGGCACCAAGACCCCTAGATGCATGCACATACCCTCCCTCAAACAATCATGGAAGCTGAGCAGGCCACACTTGCAGCGCTTGTAGAGGATTTCATGGTCTTCCAGAGGCCTATGTTCCACTTCCATTGTTTCAGGGAGTGTAGATGCAACTTGAGTACAAAGTAGCCATATTGTATTGAACACATTGAAGGTGACCACGCAGTTTTGCGATGGCCATTGCGACATGTTGCGATAGATTTAAACCATGTAGTCTCCGCCACTCTCACATCATCTTTCTAATTAATCATCACCTGACAATTTCTGAATCTACTGCTGTATGTGCCTGGAAGCGCACCCGACGTTTGTTGGCACCTTATATCCATTGAGGCCCCTCAGATTAGAACTAGCATGTAACAAACGAGTTAACTCACACCAAACCGTGCTTGATAATCCAAGAGGTCAGAGAACCACAATACTCTTTTGGAACTTGTTTCAGCTCGTCAGCTGAAATTCAAAACATGTCCACCTTTTTCGTGGAAGAAGAGGAAGCTCTCAGAGATCGTTGGAAGATCTTAGAGATCGGTGAACAGGATGGCGCGTATTTCTGGAGGATCTTCGTTGGAACCCCGTGGTTTTCCATTTTGGGATGCAACATTTGGCTAAATCCATGCACGCAAAGTGGAGCAAGCAGTCCAAAACAAAGAATTGGAAAGGAAACAATTCAATTGAAAAAAGGGAAACCGGTTTCTCCATGAGTCGCACCCTTTCGCACCATTTCGGCCAAAACAGTTGAGAACAGCGTTGACATCTCCGTCCGAACAAGACGGAAGGACTTCCAGGTTCGAAGCCCACATATGACCTTCTTTTGACGCATCTCATATAACTGGTCGCCCATTCGTCGTCCAAGGCAAGCAAACCATCCCGACAGATGACGAGGCGGTGTGTGGGTTGGGAATTTTGCGGTTCAGGAGTTAATTGACCATGAGACTCCAGGTAAACGACCCGTCTGGGACTGCCATAGGACTGCCGATCAGTTGGGGTGGTTTTAGGGGTCAATGGGGCGGCATATAATCCTGTCCACTGTCCACATAAAAACACGCGGCCCCCCCCTCCCCCTATTAACAGAAACTCGGTTGTTTTTTATAAATAGGGGGTCCCTGAAATCGGGGGGGTCCAAAATAGAGTCACCTGGGAAGAGCTTCAAAACCAAAAAGTCATCCATAAAATCCTTCATCAAACTCGTATCAAAAATTCAAAAACCTCCAGATCGAAGGGTCTTCCTTTTCCAATCCAAAAACCTTGATTAGAATACTGATTCTTCATTAGACTAACAACCAAAGCTTTCGAACAGTGATGTCGCTGTGCCATGCGGTTTTGCACGACCTCGGTGGAAAGTGCGTTTGCGTAAGTCCGTGCCATTGGAGGAAAACCTGCTGGTGTAAACACGGCGTGTCATGGTGGATACACAGGGCGGACAGATGTGGGCAGTTACGGTTGCTTTTGGAACCTAATAAAAGAAACTTCCCCCAAAGTCGACCATGTTGGTAGTTTAGTAGCGGCTTGAAAGGGCGGTAACTTAAAAACAAATCAGCCGAACTTAGGGCTTCGGACGTGGTGTCGTTTAATTGGGGAGGCGCAAAGAAATCCCAGTCAGGTGCAGCACTCAAATTAGATGCCAGTGGATAGTTTGGCTTGGCTGCTTAATGTTGTTTATTATTGATTTTTTGATTTGATGTGGCTTCCTTGCCACTTAGGCAACACAATTTGCTAAGTTCGCTAATTCAAGCTAACTTTTGCTAAATTTCAATAAGTCTTTTTATAAGTCCCTACTGTATCAGTCTTCTTGAGCCAAGAGGATCCCTATTAGTGCTCGGTGCACTGGGGCAGCTCCGGCCCAAGCCGTGACGTTGCGCCGCCTCGACGCTGGCAGGCGAGGTCGCGCCTGCCGCACCCTCCGTCATTTTTGGCAAGCACTTAAACCACGCCCCTTGACAGGTCAGATTTACCGCGGGTGCTCCAACTTCGAGAAGGATGGGGGAACCTTCTACGCCGCCCGCTTGTTTACGGAGAGCCCCACAACACAGCTCATGCTTTATCACGCCGACTCTTGACCAGGAAGAGCAATGTGTCTTTTCCACTTTGTTTGTCGAACTTGCGTCAGGCTGCCTGCGCTCACGCCACCTTGCTCTAGCTTGACCCCCTCGCGCACCATCCGGTGGTCGGCTGGTGCCATATGTGGGGGTGGACCGCAAACAGCGCAACTCGGTTGGCGACAAGGCCAGCGAAGGGCAGGCAAGGCAGGGCGCGTTGAGGGAAGGGCCTTTGTTCAGTGGGGCGACAGGCGGAGGTTGTCGTTGAGCTGGCAAAGGAGCTTGGTCTTCTAAAGGGTGCCGTGGAGGCACACCGTTGTCCCCATTTCGTGGGAGGGCTCCCCTCTTTCTTTGGCTTCGTCGAGGAGGCGCTGAAAAGGAATGCTTTACCAAGTTAACAATTAACTTTTACTCTTGGGTTTGAGGGAATGGTGGTTCCAAGAACTAACTCCAGGCTTTGTTCTTTTCAAGAACTTCTCGAAGTTTCATTCCGGCTGTTCATGCCTCTCTGATACCGTTGATCTTCCATGAGGATTTGACTCATACGGGACATGCTTCTTGGATGCTGTCGTCAGCTCTACCAGGCCGAAAGCTTTCAGATTTCTTAAATTCCCAATATGGTATATCCCAAACAGACACGCAAAAGAATTACAGCAAAGTTGTCTCTGTTTGGTCAGAACTTATCTAGTTGGCAAATTTCCCAACAGATCCAAACAGTATACACCAAACAGACATCCCACTGCGCTTTAATTTAATTCAATGTTTATGTTTAAAAAGTGGCCTTAATGGGGCCGCGTCAACTCCCCAGTCCAAACGCAAAAGCAAACTTCAATCAGACGCCCCAATGAACGTCGCGCAGGAATTGAACCCAAAGTTAATCCTCTGTCAGCCTTAGTTCTCCTGGGTCACCAAAGGCATGCCCCAAGCAGCGCTCCCACAGCACACCTAGCAACAGAATGCCTGCGAGTCTGGATTGAATACTTTATGCAACTGCATCAAAATAACCTGCAGCACTCGAAACCGATCCATGAGGGGTTGGGCTACGAATTGCGACTGCGACAAAGCTGGGGAAGGCGGCCGTGCGGAAGCCTTGGCCTCATCGTGGTGGCCCCCTCCTTGGGCTCGACATTGTGGATGTGACGGCCAAACCTTCGAAGACGCGGGCGTTGCTTGCGGGCAGCTGTTGGAAAACAGACTTGTTAAACTTGTTTGCCAGATGCTGTGCTGAGCGACAATTGCTTTCTGTGCTCCAGCTTCGCGCGCAGCTCCCCGCCACTGCAGCGGCAAGGCAGCAAGCGTGGCAGCTGTTGTAGCAAATTGTTGACGCCTATGTCCGCAAGACCGAGGCTAGACTTGGAGGACGACATGCGTATACGGCCCTCGCGGACGTGATCGGCCAGCGCTAAAAATACAAACGTTATCACCTTGAATTATTCTCGTTTGCGTCGATCTCTTCAAGCCAGGAGCGGAGTGCTTAATTGAATGAGGCCGGTGAGTGACACACTGTCCTGGACGGTGTGGGTTGGGGATTATGCCATGCGTTTGGTGGTACCCAACTTCCATCGGACGCGGTGGCGGCTGCTTGTTGGTGCGGCCACGTATGCGATCGGTCTGGAAAGCCGTGCCCCTCCCGGACATCGAGTTGGCCAAGTACATCCCCAGCAATGGTATTTGTTCTCGCGTTGGTCGCGGGTGCTTGGGGCAGTCTGTTGGTTTGGTACGAGGAAGACTTGCTGCAGCCGCGCGCTGGGGCAGTCTTCCGGCAGGGCTTGGTGCGCTTTCTGCCGCTTTCTCGTCAAGCCAATCTGATTGCTGAGCTGGAGCCGGGGCGCGCGCCGCGTGTCCAGGTTCGGTCGGCCGCGCACTACCGGCACTGGGTGGCCAACATGCCGACGCCGAACACTTGAAAGCTCACAACAGGAATGAGCGACCGCCTCGAGCGAGCCCTGAATTTAGGAGGCGCCTTGAAGCCTTGGAGGACAGAGCAGTGGCTGTGGTCAAGCTTTTCTGTCGCATGTTTGTTGCACGGGCGCTTGTATATTTCGGCATGTTTCGGTTGATGTGGGATGCCAATGTGGGTGGGCAGCTGGCCCACGCGGCGCGCAATGCTCCCAAGAAACGGCCGGCCATCGTCGTCTTGCGGATGGGCCGAGCCTTGTTGACAAATTGCGGGCATCCCAGCAGCGTGACAAAAGCATTTTGGCAGTGTCATTGCGAGGGTGGCCAAAAACTGATTACTCATGATAGTCTGCTTGGGCCTGTTTCGTTCTCCTATCGTGTCAAGCTTCCCCAAGCCAGTGACGCCGCTCGAACCCGCCTGCAGCTGTTTGGCGGCATCTGCCCACGCACACCATTCAACCAGATGCCGGAGTCGCATCCTGGACAGTTTTTTAGGTGCGCACATAGCTTCCCAAAACTATTGTGCGTGGTTGGACACACGGTGTTGAAAATGATGAGTAATGTTGTGGAAGCTGAGTCCATGCCTTGTGGTGCTTCCAATGTGTCTCCATTATTTTCCTTTGAACATTCCGGTAGATATGGAAATTGAACGTTTCCTGAGAAGTTTTCGATATCCCACCTAAGAACTCATGTGCCGGGCCGGGCAAAGTTTGCATGACAGGGCTGCCTGCCTATCCAATCTACTGGCCAACTGTTTGCCCAATATGGAACGGAATACTTCCACAGAATACAAAGTGATCCCAGTCAGCCAAATGTATACTGAAGTCAATGACTGTAGCATGAAAAATTGAAACAAACCCTTTGCCCGCTCATGATGCTCATGGCGCAAAAAAACCGAACAACTCTGATTCAACTGCTTTAAGTTATATAGATTGAAGCACCTCATCCATGAATTTTGCGTTTTGCAATGCTCTGCGGAGGTTTGGCTGATTAGTCCTTGCCCGACGGATTCGAAACTGGTCGGGGCACACCCAGTTGAAGCGCGGGTGAAAAGCGGTGCGGGACACACCGAAGAACAGTACCGATTTCGCTGGGTGTTCTTTCGGGTCTCAGTACTCCATGTGAAGTCGTCAGGGAAGTGGAACATGGCCCTAAAAGGATGATGATATCTGAACATTGAACACCAAGCAGATGCCATCCATTATCCATGATTACACATATATATATATATATATCTGTGTGAACAATATGTGAACATATGATGACATATGATAATAAAAGTACTACATGACAAAGTACACACAGTACGCAAACCAATGTTTCTAAACCCATGTATCTCGTGGAATCCATCACAACGGTGGCGAAATGTTGTTTTCGGAGACTTAAATATTGGCAAGAACCATATGAAATGGACGAGGGTATTGTGCGTTACGTGAGTACATCCAAAAGTAACATACCTTAGGTTTAGTGTATGTTACTTTTCAATTCTCATCAAAGTCTCTTATGGTCTATGGACCCATTGCTGTCTTAATTGCAGTGGACTGGACCCAGACTGAGGCTCCGCAGGTGTTTTTCGGGACATGGTTTGCCGTGCGGCAGTTTTCAACATTTCAGACGAGGTTCTCACTTCCGGGACCTGCCACAGCGGCACCAAGAACAGCCAGGGCCCCAGAACTTCCGCCCGGAACCGGGCGGTAAGCCTCGACTTGGGATAGGACAGGGGTCAACCCTGAGCGTTCAAAGATGGTTTGGAGTGTGTGGTTTGTGTTTGGTTCAATGATCAGAGACACCAACAGAACCACATGTTCGGGTTGTTTGGTTTGTCCCGGGCTGGCAGATCGGATGAACCTCCCCGCGTTTGGTGCTTTTGTCGGACGGCCTGGATTCTGTACCTCATGTAGCCTTGGAAAGAGACAGGTCCGTCTTAGCAAACAGAAACCACGGTGCATGTCAAGGTGTTGTTGCTTAATTTTCCCCAGAAACATTCTGAGATCTTGGCAGCATGCGTGACCGGACAAAGCTCCATGGAGCCTGTTGGTGCCATCAGTTCAACCATTTGATCGAGGTAATCTCTCTGTTCTTTAGCAGCTGAAGAAGCGGGTTGGACCCGGGGTCAGCACGGCACTGGACCGCGAGAAGATGCGAGATTCTTCCGGAAGGTTCGGGGGTCCTCCATGGTGGATAGGGAGTTCTGGGAAATCTGAAGATGAGTTCGGGACTAGCGGAAAAGAATGTCTTGACACGTTTGTCATGTTCTTTTTAGGTGGGTGACGTCCATCACATGTGAGAAAATCAACTTCAAAAGGAGAATCATCCAGGGTAGCAGTGAGTTCGTAGCATCTTCAAATTGCAGAACCACTCTTCAAGCCTTGTTTGCTCCAATTGGCAGTGCAGGCGTTGCTGCAAACCCCGGTGCAGGAAGATCTGTCCTGAGTCAGCCATGCATCCGGGAGGCCCATCCCAATGCCGTTCCTCCGCACTTCAAAAAACCGCATCCCCCTGTTCCAGGTCTTAGTCTTAGCCTTCTTCCAACCTCCAGGACAGGTGGTTGGTTGCTTCTTCGGCTTCTAAACTGTCCAAGCGCAGTGCTTCCCCACGTGCTTCCCCACGCTTCCCCACGTGCTTCCCCACGTTCAGGTGCATCCTTGCGTGTGCTGAGACTGGACAACGGGGAGGCCAGCAGACATGGGAAATCGGATGGAGACCAACAAGAATCCTAACCTTGATGACCCAGCTGCTAGAATGGAATGCGATGTTCCCTTACTTGTGTACGTATGTATACGGTATAATTTGTTTTTGTGGGCTTTGAGAAAAAACAACACTCCAAACAAATATATCCAATGTGTTCCAAAAATCCAAGGACCAACCCTTCCAACCTCCATCCTGGCACCGGTGCCCTGTCGGTCCGCGCTCCACCCGCGGTCCGCCCTGCCACGGCCCGCGGGACCGTCCAGGTGACCCAGCAGCCTTTGTTGGTGGACGAGGAGCATCCCTTAAGTTCATCGGATCGGACTGCCCAGAAGGACCGCTTCGGACATGCCGGGACGACCGGTTCGGACTCTTCCCCCGATGTCGGGGAAACCACGGTGGCGAAGTGGACCGGAGAACGGCCGTGGTGGGACCGGACCTCGGAGGGGCTGATGACGTGGGACGGGGACGAAGGTAGGATGAGGTGATCCCAAAACGACCAACCTGTCTGGGACTGCCGTGCGACGGACTGCCGCCCCAAGTCAACAGACCCCCCCAGTCCACCACCCCAACGGCCGTGCCACGACACGGCCGTCCGACATGGCAGTCGTGTTTGGGGATGGTGAGGAGGTGAGGAGGTGATGAGGTCGGGGGTCTGCAGAGGCGAGGGTCTGGTGACTATTTTTGGAGTGGACGGTGCAGACGGTGGACGACCTGTTTCTCTAGGTTCATGCATCGGAGGTGGTCAAAAGATGGAATGTGGATATGGAGACTTTTCGAAGGCTCCAACAAATCTGTAATGAAGAGAGTCCATCAATCTGTGTGTGCACACTGCTTCAGCAAACAACTCATCCGACCGACAAATCATCCTAGCGATGGCAGAAAGGCAAATTTCCTCGGACCATGTCCTGTTGCTTTGGCATTTGTTGGTTTCCTGCTCAGATGTATGCTACACCAAACCCACGCACACTCTCCGACAGAAAGGTTCAAAGTTCAAACATTGGTGGTTGCCTCTGTGGCACAACGAAAGCCCCTCTTCCGGTGGTCCAACATGCAGGAAGAAAACTCGCTGCAGGAATCGCTCACCTCGTTCCAAGTTCACCAGGAATCGCCTTTCCAATCAGCGTGGCTGTACACATGCCGCTGTCCTCCCGTCCGGTGGGTCACTGGGCTGAAGCTCACAGCGTTCACTGACCGCCAAGGTGAAGAGCGCCTTGTGGGACCCTCACCAGAAAGGCAGCCTGGTCTTGGCTGACAGCGAGGTGGTGCCCACGAACCGCGTCGCCGCGGTGCTGTCGGGCGGTTCGCCCCGCTCCGAGGGTCGGACGAGGGGTGTGGGTGTGATGTGACTGGGCGTAGCTTGACTCATGTGACCAGTTGACGCAAGGCAGGCTATAGATGATATTAGTTAATAAGAATTGAGAGGTTCTAGAATGTTATAGACTAAAGATGTCCAACTCATGTTGGATGTTTGCGCAGGCAAAAACAAAAGATACAAAATGATGGTTGGCCAACTCCTGTTGAAGTGCGGGTGGTGGGTGGTGCTTGAGCCATTCTTCCCACTTGGTGGGACTGGAGAAGGATCGAGAAGCTTAAATTCAGATAGCGAACATCAAATCAATCAAGAGGTGGGATGTTTTTTTCATATATCGTGCCGTGCCTTTATGAATTAATTATTCCAGGTGTTGTGTGGGTTTTGCGGGTATGTTGACATGGGACCTTTAAGGCACCACGGCTTGTTTTTTGTTGAAGTTCAGGATGTTGACTTCATGTCTTAAGAGGTGCCCGGACGTTCCGCTCCTTCTCTCCTTCGTTCCGCTCCTTCCGCTCCGCTCTGCTTCGTTCACCCTCGGCATCTCTCCTTCGTGAACGCTTCGCTCCTTCCGCTGGGTGCCGGGTCAGGCGGTGCATAGCTTCCAGGGAGCCTCAGCCTCTGGTGGTACCTTGCTGCGGCAGAGCACGCTGGACGTGGGGCAGAGGCGTGTCCCGATGTACGATGGATTGGGATTGGGTGGGATGAGAAGCAACTCCTATAGACACCGAGACTGACATACATGCCTTTGACCCCTGTTCAACCACCGCCACGTGTATATATGCACTGTGACACGTGTATGTACACAATATATTATTACGTGTAGATATGCCAGTCCCGCGGAGTGTGTGCAAGCATGAAGGTGTCGCAATCTCAGTTTGGGGGAATCGAAGGCGACCTGACAGTCGCCGGTTTGGGGTGGTCTTCTTCAGGGGCCACCTGAGGTAGCTGCCCGAGTCGACCAATTTGGTCGAAGCAGTGCTGAGCAGATTGTTTTGTTTTGGGGTCCATTAATATCCAACCAAATTGGGGGGCAGACTGCAGGGTTGTTTGTGTTGATCATGATTGGAACATCAAGCCAATTCATTGAAGACTGTGGGACAGACTTGGACCTTCGGCTGTAACATTGGCACGTTCCAGAGGCCTCACTTCATGGACCAATAATGCCAATACAAAACAGGAGAAACATCAACATGGAACCTGAAAACCACTGGGTTGCACTATAGAACATCGTGTAAAATCGTGTGGAAAGAATGTCATCAGGTTCTTCTTGTGGGTCTCAAACTGTTTTTTTCTGTGTACCCTAGACTTCCAAAACCATGAAACAAATAGTTGACCTGGTTAACTATAGTGTGAAATCATATATAAAATCCTTAGTTGATTCCATAAAGCCTATTGAATTCATGGTGGTTGGGCTCCCAAAATGTAGGTCCTGAATACACTCTCTCCTTCAGCTGGGCAGGTGCAATGGCGCCTGCCTGGACCCACATCATCGACAGCAGCTCAGTACCGCAGCTCGACCCGACATGGCGCTGCTGGAGGGGATGATGTCAATCTGAAGGATTTGACACTCCCACAAGCAGAATACATGGAAGTTCAGTCCACTGCTTGTAAGGGAAAACGGTTTATTCCCGCTTTCTTCATCATTTCGATGTGAGTGAGTCGGAGACTCAGGGCTTCTGGGTTCATCTTATTAGGTCCGACTAAGAAAATTCGCCCCAAAAACACGTGGTGAAACGATCCTCATGCCTGGGAACGGTCGAGCTTGGACAGGCACTGTTCGAACTACACAGGAGGTGCTGCAGGATGGTCCCTAGTGCGTTAGGATGGCTCTGGATGGGTGAACAGGGAGACACCTCACCCCCGCTGGGTAGACTGGTCTACTTCCAGAACTGAACCATATGGAGTGGGAGTGCCGGAGTGTTTGTCGGTCTCCCGAGCAGCTTCGAGCTACATGAAGATTTGGACCCTCCTGGCACCCACCCCAGTCTCACCTTCTCAACGCCACTCGGAGCCCTCAAACTCGTGTCACCAGAAGAATCACCAACAACATCGAAGCGGAGTTTTTTCAGGAACGCGGTTTGAAACAAGGAAAGCGCTGTGAAGAAGGAAAGGGGCTGAGGGATGAACCGACATGGGCTGGTCGGGTCAGCGGTGAAACCGCATGTTGACAGGCCCCAGTTGGGGCTCAGGTTCTCACCCAGAGACCCACCATAGACTGACTTGTTGGGGGGGCGAAAGCAAGAAATCGACGGACTGGTGGGCGAACGAGAGACAAAGATATCACATCTCCATCTCCTACCATCTCTTCACTCTTATGGCAGGAAGAAAGCAGACGAGAGTGAAAGAGAGGGAAGGAATAAAGAACGTGCGAGATGATAGGAGACACATGAAGACACTCTGCTCCTTTGCGGCACAACCTGCGAGACGATGTTCCATTATACTAGTGGTTCGCTGATCTTTTTTTTCGGAGCCCCCTTGGTTTTGGGGTGATGAATTGACACCCCGAAGGAACACCTCGTTGAAGAAGGCGATGAATAGACTCACCCCAAATGAATGTAGACACCATGTATAGACACTGGAGGCCTTGGGAAGATCGACTTCGACTCACAGACTTGGAATATGGTTTGGTACTTAAAAGTCCTGTGAATTCGGAGAGGTGCCGTGAATTCAAGGCAGAATTTCTCGGTCCAAGTATGGAATTCACATGGACTGCCCCGAGATGTGGTTACTAGTTAGTATGTGTTTATAGTTTGTACAACTCGGTCACCAATCATAGGCAGTCTAGAAAGTTCATTCGAAGGTTGATGTGTTGATATGTTTTGCACGGAGCATTCTGCGTTGAAATGTGCAATCTTAATCCAAAGCTAAGTTAACCTTGTCAGGATCTTGGATCTTCACTTCACAATGTCCTAACAAATCTTGCTCCACTGGAAACCAGCGTTCCTGATGGTGGACTGCAAGTCGGAAGCCCAGACCTCCCTCCTTATGGCATGGCTTTGGTGCGCTCAGCCACGTTATCCGCCCGAGGTGGACGACGGCCATTTGAAGACGTGGGATCTGCGAAGCAATCGCTTGGCCTTCCGGAAGGTGGACCGGCCGGGAGCGGTCGAGACTGCACTCGTGGCGGAACCCGCTGCGGAGGATTTGGGGAGGACTCGTGTCGGCACCCACCGACCGGTGGTCACACTGCGAGGTCATGTGAGCTAAAGCTGCCAATGGACCCCCTGCTTTGATACCACGAGATCATATTTTGTGTGATTGGTGTTCACTAGAGCTCATTCAGGTTCTAGGAAGAATGGAATGCTCCAAGAACTTAGTAGCCCAAAGTCGATGCTTTGGGCTTTCCACGCATCGGATCTCAGCTTTTCCTCGAAACCATTTTGGCCTCGAACCGCCAAACTGCCCGAACCACCCCCCTCACGCCCGCCGTTGTCCTCCACGCCCGTCTCTCCCGCCGTCTCACGCCGTTTGCGACGCCGTTTGCGACGTGGTCACAGGATGGAGCGCACCTGTTTGGAGCCAAAGATGTGGATTACAATCCCAATGTGCCACCGAGCGCGAGCGGGCGCGAGCGGGAGCAGAAAGAGTTGTGGTTCTGGTGGTGGTTTTTTGGCGTGGAGGATGGTGGTTGTTTCAGGAGGGTCAAAGGATGTCAAAGGTATGCCTGTCTAGGATCTAATATAGGGAAAGCCCTGGTGTTTTTCACTAGATGGTGAAACAGGGACACTCCATGGGACTGCCATATATACATCAATTGGCCCCCCCCCGGCAGTCCCCAAACCTATTTGTTGGCAGTCCTGTGGCAGTGACCCCCCCCATGGGTGGCGTTCGGATCGTTTGGGCAACATGTTCCAAAACCTTTAAGAAGAAAAAATGTTCAGCAAGAACGCTCGAGCAACTAAGAATCTGTATCAAACATTGCCTTGAAACACTTTTATGCGAACCAATTGGGTGGTCCAGGTAGTTTTTTTTGAAAACATCATTATCACAGCTCCCAGACGCGACCGACTGCCCATGTCGGACTGCCGTTTCGAAACGGCCGTTGGGGTGGTTGACTGGGGGGTCTGTTGACTTGGGGCGGCAGTCCGACGCACGGCAGTCCCAAACAGGTCGGTCGTGTCTGGGGCTGACAGATGGCTGACAGATGTTGAAGGGATCAATCTCAAAAAACGACGATGCCATCATAGGTGTTCCATGTCGATCCCATATATGGGTCGTCGAGGCGGTGTTGGTCCGTTGGTCCTCCAGTCGTTGTACCGGCCATGGCCCGGTTTCAACACCTCAGGTGCCATATCAGGTGCTCACCACCGGAGAGGATGCATGTCTCCGCTTCTGGGATCTCAGGCTTCCGGATGGTTGGGGACATGCGTCGCGCCGAAGGTGGCATGGTATTTTACATGTAACATTGATCATATGAGAAGGATACACAGAAGTGATCTCATAAATATCTATGAATCTATGATAATGATACTGTATGTAAGGCTTCTGTGATCATAGAGTGCTTACTGTGTACAAGAAGTATTGTAATCGTTGTGATACTTGACATGTGATCACAACCTTGTCGTCATCTGTGATCCATCTTGAAAGAGTCATGCTGTCGGTTGTTTCTCAGCTACCCCCCATTTGATCGGACCTGACGATGTGGAGTCCATTCCCAGACTGAAGACACAAAGGACCAGAGGTCGATCAAAGGTCCCCCGTTGGCTTCCGCAAAAAAAGGTGAAATGGAACATATGGACCCTGAGAATGTGTTGGCTTTTGTGTCCTTAATGTTGGTTCCATGCTTTCGAGCCTATTTCTGAACACCAAGCTGCCAATTTGTTTGAACCATGTCTGAACCAGACCAACACGTCGGGATCATCAAGACGTGAAAAAAACAACGATCATGTGGTTCCCTGATCTCCAAATCCGCCTCATCTGGATTTGGGTCACCTGGATCTAAAGAAAACCACCACCACCATCACCACCACCACGTCTCTCCAGGCAGCTCAGCAGCTCCTTACGTTCCTTAACGGGCGGACATCACCACTGGGTGCGCCCTCACGGAGCGAAGCGAGCTTCCGCCGTGCGGAGCGAAGCAAAGACCCGGTGCCAGGCGGATTTGGTGATTGGTTCCTTTTCCCCTTATGGTTTAAATCCCCACACCTGGTGAAGAGGTCTTTTATCATGTTTCCCATGTTTTCCAGGTTCCAGGTTCAAGCAAATCCAAGTCGAAAGAGAGGTCTCGCCCTTGTGAGCGACCAGGGCGCTCTTTTGACGCCTTTTTTTTGAGCGACCAGGAAACGGGGGAAAGTATGAATGACCTATTTGATTAGTTCCAGATGAACTCGGCCTAGTCGACATGTTCGATCTAGGACATCAAAGCGGACGTCTCCCTTGGGGAGAGTGCCCTGGAGGAACTGGGATTCTCGGGTCCTCCAAGTCCTGAACATCCAATGGTCCACGGCAGGAACTGTTCGAAGACGAAGCGAACGGATCAATTCCAATTCCTCAGTCGATATCAGTCTATCAAAGAAATGTCGAAAAACAAAGGGAACCTTTCTAACTGGAAATCTGACACGACGCGACGACGTGGAAAAAACACGTTGGATTCCATACCACTGGCCGAGTGGTGAACTCCATCATCTACTGTACACGTTTACACCAATGTGGTGAAGTCCAAGAAGAACTCTGAACCTAATTCACAGCTCCTTCTGCCTGACAGCTTTGGTCACCACTTGGTGTCGTCATAGCCATAGCTCCAAGCTGACGAGAAAAAAACATCACACCACAACTAAGAGGTACAGCTGACTGGCAGCTTCCATCTCTTCAGGGACCTCCAACAACTGGCTCAAAAACAGACCCTCACATACCATTTCCATTCCATTTCCAGCTGGGCGACTGGAGGACCATCGGTCAGACCACTGTGAGACCTCACTCGTCAGGGAACAGTGTGAGACCTCCGGGACGGTCCAACCGGACGCACCACGCACCACGCACCGGACGCGGCCGCAGGTGGTTCGCTCCCGGTACAATGCGCACCACGACCAGCCGCTTGGTGGCGTGGTCGTGGGTCGGTTCGGCGGGTTCGGTGGTCCAGTGGTCTGAAGGAAGGCGAGGATCGATGTCTTGGGGTGTCCAGATCAATGGGTTTGTCCGACATTTACATGTAGTAGTTGGTGAAGAAAACATCACTCACCAAGCGGAAAATCCACTGTTACTGGTAATAGGATAGACCCAAAACCCATATAAGCCACCCAACTTAGAGGCCCGAACCTGTGCTGTTCCAACCGAATGATGGGAAGGAACGCCACGCCACTGACCGAACGTGTCACCATGTGTCACCATGGTGACAGCCTGGATTTTATTTGAGATGATTGATCCCTCGGATTCAGATTTGTCAAGTGGATTGAAACCACCAGGCAGTTGTTTTGCACTTCGTGAACGCACTTGGTATGTCAGACCAGATAAACATATAGATAAACCCTGATGTCTTCATAGTTTTCTATTCCTGCAATAGATGTGTTTGCGAGAATTCACCAAGGCAGGAGATCATACCTCCGGAGAATGCATTTATCTTGAATCAAGTGTGCATGTCATGTGTCACCAAATCTATCATAAATCATCTTAAGTCCTTGGAGACATTGGTTCAGTCCGATTGGGCAACTACAAGTACACAAGTACTACCGTGGTGAGTCATGTGCATGTCATACACTTGCTCGGAATTCAATCACCATCGAAGGGATGAAAAAAAAAGAGAAAAGATCAAAGCATGAAGTGAACTGGGTAGTGAAACCTCTCATTTCAAGCTTGAAGAAAGGATCCAAAACAAAAGACAAACATCTTCTAGCTTTGGGCACTCCCAACAAGTGCTAAGCCCTTTAGGCAGCCGGGTGTAGAGACACCGAACTCCCGACCTCACCTGATAGGCAGAGAGCTCATGAACTGGAGAATCCTGAAGCTTAACATGGAGCTCCATGACAGTCTGAAAGAATCAGCTCCACGATGCTCCATGTTCTGCTGAAAAGGATGTCCTTTCCCTACACCGACTTCGTCGTACCTCCTCAGGTTCGGAATGACTGGACCCTCCTGGCACCCACCCCAGTCGCACCTTCTCAGAAGGTACAACTGGAGGCCTAGGGTTTGTAACTGTGACCATGTTTACAAGATGATCCCTGAGTCCTGACTTCTTCAGGCTTCTTCCTTCACCCGCGTGCGGCAAAAGTTCCTCATCGCCTTGTTCCATCAAACGCCGCCTCAGCGATCCGCCCCAGCGATCCACCACAGCGACGTCCGGCGTCTTCCGGGCGGTCTTCCGCCCTGCTGATCTCTTCCCCTCGCCAGATCCCCCGATCCAGCGCCCCGGCTCCCCGCCCGAGATCCCCGCACCAGGCTGGTGCTCTCCTGCGGAAGCGACTCGCTGCTCTGCTTGTGGCGCATTCCTTCGGTGGCGTCGGCGCCCTTGGGCGCCGCGAAGGCCCAGGTGCCCGCGCGTGCACGGGGCGTTCCGAACGCGCTGGGGTGGGGTGTTCCGAATGGGGGCGGAGCCCGATCCGAGAAGCAAGAGAAAGCTGAGCTCTCCATGCACAGACATGTCATTTTCTTTTAAGCTCAGCTAAGAGATGTTCAGATCTCATTTCAAGATGTATCATCCGCAATTGGTTCAGTCACCTCCAAATCTGCAAAGGCCACAGAGGTACTATACATAGGTTGCTTTTTCTGAAGTGCGTACGTATCGTCACCGCGGTGCGAGTTGATGGAGGTGCCGGCACAAACGGTTCCAACTCGTCGGACGGCACGGAAGTACACTCATCGCACTTCCTAGGTGCTTTTTGTTGGTTCACAAGTCATGAAGCTATAGCTAGAATCTAGAATCTATGGGTGGGATGCTGCCACAGATGCTTCGAAAAGTGGATGGGCCGTCGGTTACTGTATTGGTTTCCGAGCAGTAAAACACTGTAAAACCTTGCGACGATCAGGGCGATGTTCTAGTCATGTGTTCTACCATCACCCTGAAGGGAATCCACGGAAATCCATTTAGGGACATCCAATGGCAAGAAGATCATGCAAAGGCCGAAAACCTTTGGAAATCCTTTCGGTGTTTGGGAGGATGCGCAGAAGAGCCCGGATGGGCTGGTGCGGAAGTATGAAGAGCATGAGGATGGGAGATTGGATGGGAGATTGGATTTGAGTGGGCAAGTTCCGTGCAAAAGGATTGAGAAAGGTGGTTTGAGACCATTTACAAGGTCAAACAAGTTGGTCTCTTTCACCAAGTAAACACCAAGTAAACAGGGTTGGTCAGTTTACTCCTTTGGTGGAGTTGGGTCTCTAGCCAGGTCTCTCTGTGGAAAACGTGGGCCTTCTGTATACGCTGCATGAGAGCCAAACTCTTTTGGATCAAGCCAAACTGACACATGACTCTTGACTTTGAAGCTCTTCGAGATCTGAGACCACGAGCTATAAACTGACACATGTTGGCCACCCAAAACGACCTCTCGTGACCTCTCGTGACCACCGCTCGTCGGTACCATCGCGCTTGTCGCGCACGTCGCACGTCGCCTCGGGTGAGGACGGTCCCGGATCCGAGCTTTTCCGGTGATCGGGTTGATCCATGCTCCACTGGTGCTTATTTGAGTTGGCTGATTTTAGCACCGTGGTGCTTATCCGTTGGATTCCGTTGGTTGGTTGGCTTGTCCTGGTTGTGCTTCTTTTAGTTGTCATTTTGAAGCACCGTTTCATACTCAGCCAGAAGGAAAAGATGAGTGAAAGGATGGTGAAAGTCGACGTGAAGACCGGCATATGCTACGGCCAGAAACTGAGGCTAAGGCTGCTAAGGCTGAAAAGCACCAAAACCCGCACCTATTCCACTCCATGGGACTGCCAAGTTGGACTGCCACCCCGACCCCTCTGGCACCACCCTATAGTAGGTAAATATATCAGTCCGGAGTCCATGGAGTGTTTGGGTATAGCTGTTGCATGCCCATCTCCAGGACTCCTGCTATAGCTGTTGCTGGAGCGCCGCCGATCCCTGGGTCTTTGCGTCGGTGTCCTTCGACGGGAAGCTGGTCGGGCGGCCTGGTCGACGTCGACGTCGGCTGCGTCACATCACATCGCCCAGGGTCACGAAGCTTCAAAGCAGGAGAAAATCAAAGCAGGAGAAAAAAACCCAGCTGCAGTGTTTATCACACATCTCCTGCTTATCCCGTCTGCATATATACCCACTGCATGGCCAGGTGTTTCTCGAAGATTGACCGATTGCCATATTATGACCCCTCAAATCATCCGATTTTTTTCGGCGGACCCGATACCGTCAAACATCCGAAGATCACCCGATCACGTCGGCAACTCTATTGTTAGATAGGGTCAGGTAAGCCTGACTTTGAGAGGTCTTTTAAGAAGAACTTGGCCAAGTTAACGTGGGTATCCAACGTTCTCTGACGATCTCGAACATTGAACGTTCCGTTCATACCCGCAAAAAGTCGAAGGGGATGGCAGGGAAGCACAGCAAGGAATGCTCGGATCCATGTGCTTCTGGTTTGCTGGTGAAAACACCTTGATTGTTTGAAGCAACCCAAATGGTCAGTTCAAAGCGGCAGGCGTGAGAAAACAAGCACTTGTCATCAAGCGTGGCTAAACGTAATTGGTCAGAACAGCTGCTGCGAACTGTTCAGCTGATCGTTTATATGAACGACTCTAGTCGACGGAATCCGACGGAATCCATTGATCGGTCTTTGGGGATCTGACATAAATGGTTTTGTAGTTGGTGACTCACTGGTCGCAGTTGGTTTTTGGGGGGGTATGAGCGATTTGCTCCGCTAGTACACTGAGTATAGTGGCTTGGAGAGACGCCCCGATTCACAGCACGGCTGCAGGTAGTGAATCGGGTGCCGGGTGAGGAGAAGTATAGGATCCTGATGTGAGCACATTGTGTGTATGCCGCAAATGCTGGTCAAATAACGAGAACAGCCGAGAAAGGCAGTGGAAAAGGCATCATTGTCATTGTATTTAATCTATCTTCCTACATCATCCAGTTCCAGTTCAGTGACAGACCATTGCAAGGAAATGCGATCGGAAGAAAGAACATGAAAGAAAGAGAAAGTTCCATTCTTATCCAGGACCCCCAAGGGCGCCCAAGGGTGGCTAATGGACACCCCGACTGACCCCTAAGGGGCTATTCATGGACACCCGGAATCCGTGGTGCTGGATGATGCATATCCAAGCCTTGTAATTATCGCCTTTGTCACCGAGCCAGTGCTCTGTCAGTAGGGCGTCTGGGGCCGGAGCTCCACGGAGCTCCAACCACCGCTGGAGCTGAAGAGCAGAGCTCGCGGCAAAGGTTGCAGCAGAACAAAAGAAGCTACGTCCGTGTGTGGAGACGGTTGCGGGATTTTGGTCCGTCTTCTCTGCGACTCGCCACCTGTGCTTCTGAAAAGAAATGGTTGCTTTGCAATTTCCTTGGGAGAGACCTGTTTACCACTGTATTCTCCCATTTTGTCGAAAGGGGTTGACCAAAGACAACTCCAAGCAATGAAGCCCTTTGACACCTGTTCGGCAAGGGTTAGCCGTTTGTTGGCGCACAACTGCCACGAGCCCTTTGCTTTGGCTGCCATATTTATCTTCAGATATGTCTTTCTTCTCGTTCCAAGTCTAGGGTTCTATAAGAATATGTTCTTGTGGCATCGTATTTTCACGTGTTGTCCACGCCACGCCCCCCCCCGCCCCATCACCTAAGACACTGCCGCGGCTCAGAGGGCTCCGATGGGACAACGTGGCTCCCGCAGCATTTCCAACGTGGCTCCTGCGGACCGGACTGGGCCAACGGGCGCGAAAAGGGCGAGTGACGTGCAGGTGAGGTTGGGGGGGCGAGTGTTCCGTGGGATGGCCGAGGTGTCCGCTATCCACCTGGTGTCCCTGATATCCTGCTATCATCTCTAATAATCACTGAGGACAGAATCAAGCGGAATCAAGGTGGTACAGATGGAGCGAATGGATGCGAAGGTTCCATCAATAGTTCTGTGGATTCTCGTGATCGAAGAGGAGTGAACAGTTGAAGATGAGTGAACAGTACACGATTATCACTGTACTATATTATAGATTAGAGAAGGGCCTTCACATGCCTTTACTAACCATCATCCACTGTTGCTGGTGGGATAGACATGGATAGACCCAACAGACAAAGAAAATGAAAGCAACGAAGCCACAGCTGAGGGTTTCCCCCATCCCCAACGGGTGTGATGTGGCGCTGTCAGGTTCAACTGCACATGTGCCTTCTTCGGTGATCACTTGGCAAGGCCAGCTTGGCAAAACGCGTCGGGGGGGGCCGAGCGAAGTCTGGCCGAGTCTGGCAGATGGGGGGCGGGCAGACATCATCGGTTCGAACGGTGCGCACTGGGCGTACATGCCGTCAGTGTTTTCCTTTTTTTCCGAACAGTTACAGTGTCAGTAAATTAATATGATAGCTAATTAACGCGGTTATACAATTAACGCATGATATGATATATCGGTATGTATTTTAGTAGGGGGAGCTCCCAGTCCCAGGTTTTGGGCCGCAGTTTCATGCAGTCGACGTGCAGTGACGACCCCCAGACCTCAAGGTCTCCACCTTTCACGGCGGAGACTCTGCCAGGTTATAAAGCCGGTGGGAGGTCCTTACTAGCTTCTTGTTACTAGTAGCTTCTTGCTCCTAGTAGTAAGGCACTTGTTACTAGTAGCGATGCACTTGTTTCTACTAGCTTTCTTGTGTTTTTGTTCGTTGTCTTAATTGCTAGATCCAAGAGTCACAGGACGTCGGGGATGCCGGGCCTTTGGGAGGACGTCGAGGTGCCAACACCACATCTACCCAGCACCCCTCGACTTGTGACTCCTGAGAATCATGTTTGTCTTTAACCCTCGAGTCGCCTCATTGGAGACGACTCCGGTTGCTTGACTTCAGACAGTCCTTTCATGTCCTTTCATTTTTTCGCTCCACACCCAAACGTCAAGACGATGTGGGTGTGCAAAAAGAAACCGTTGAAGGCCATGATGTGTAGGGTACCCCAAAAAATCCGGAAAGATTCTAGGGCCCACTACTAGTAGGGGTATCCTACATCATTGGCTCACCCCAGAAAGTGACCAAATCATCTGGACAGATTCAGTATAGGACCGGCCCCACAGCCACTGAGTCTGTACTGTCAGAGGGCTCGGCAGGTCGGCAAGGATCCTCAACAGTTGGGAAGGTCCACCTCCTTGTCCACCTTTCCCCCACTTCAGTCATGCTGACATATGGGTGTGTATTTTTAAGATTTTTTAGTCATTTTAAATAGGGAGACCCTTTCAACATCTTTCAACCAATAGGTGGTGTATATTTAATAGGGAGACCCTTCAAACAAGAAGCTTTTGGTCTATTTCTCTTCTTCCAGGGGGTTCAATAATCCCTTTGATTGACCCATACGTCTTCCCCTCTTTCCATGTTCGATTGGGGAGCTGAAGGACAAGTGGTTTACTCAAGGGAAATGACATCAAGAAAGACAAGACCGAAGAAATGGCATGTTGATCACCCCAAGATGGGGGCAGCCCGTGGATTTTGGAAGGGGTAACCCCTTTCGCTGGGTCCTGGGTGAGGGGTCACCCCTTTCGCCGCGGGTCCGCTGGTCACATGAGTCCCCGATGCGTAGACTCAGCGTGGACCATTTCTTGCAAGGCCACTTCTTCCAAGTGCCATAAGAAAGCAGCATAAGAAGGAACATATCAAAAGAAAAGACAACAACCAAAATCCAAAGAAGAGACAAGACCAGTAAAAGAACCATCTCTATTAAGTAGGAGGTTGAGGGTTTCGTGCTCGGCTTGGGTTAATTGGGAGGGGTTTGGACATGATGTGCATCCTTCAATGGGGAAAAAACACAAGGTCAGTGTTCAAGTAGATTTGGCATAGATCAACAAGGGGGTATTGATTAATCCTGACTTGACATACAGAGACTCAGACTAATATGTTTAATTCCTATAGACTGTTGCTGCTCCTTCTGAGTCCCCCAGAAGGATTTGTCACCTCCCCAAAGAGAGAAAGAGTTGTAAAGATCGCAGTGAAGATGTCAAACCCCACTGGCACACTGCACGAAGCGGCACGAATCATGTCATCTTCCTTAACGAAGGGGCACGGGTTCGCCAGTTCACAGAAACTCACTGGTCTCCAAAAGAAGCTGCTAAAAGACGTGAGATATTTGTGCATAGCTTCGACTCAAAAAGGGGTCGATTTAAAAGAACAGTTCATTTGTCAATGTCAAAGACGAACAACAAGGGAATCATGTTTAAGAGGACCTGATTTCGGGAACATCCTTTTACTTCACCAAGGAAAAGTACGCATGGTTTTTGGACTTCTATAGGGTTTCTTGGTTTAAACCAGTTTCGGCTTCCGGCTGGCTTTTCGGTGCTGAGGACATGGAGCGGCCGAAGCTCAGTTGGGGCGGCCCGGGGTTGGAAAGCCACCGCGTGGAAGCATCGGGGCTGTTCGTAGAGAGATCTCAGCCATCAGGGAAGACTTTGAGAAGATCCAGACAGGATTTGCAGATGTGTTTGTTCTTTCAATTCTTTAACAGGATATAGCAGGATGTTCTTCAACCACTTCAAGGTTGAGCCTTGAAGACTTTTAGGGGTTACACGATGTTTTACAGGCTGATGACTGATGGATTCACACCAGAACTACCTCGACTTGAAGTGAGGTGCTTTGCCTGTGGGTCCAAAGTCTTGGTACATCTTTCTCAGACCCTTCTTCATCGCCCCCACCTGTGTTGTCATGAGCACATTGGACGGGAAATGTTGGAGGCATCGGAGCTGAAAATCTTTGGACATGTCAACAAGTTGCTCATAATCATTCTGTGATTGGGACACTTCCATCGGGACTGATGACTCTTGGTGGAAGGCAAAGGCATGGTTGGGAACGCAGTGAAGAAGGGTCCGATGCTAAGGCTTTAGGATGGACATTTTGGGGCGCTACAAGTTCGGGAGCTACAGACATTCGAATGATTAATGTGACACGAGGCCGAGTATATTGCGACATATTGTGATCCTCACCCAGACACTCCATGGGACTGGCATATTTTAACGTTTACATACATTGACCCCTGAAACCCCAATCCATTTCGTGAAGAGTCACTTTTCTTTCTCCCAACCATCCATCTATATAATTGCCAATCCCATGGCATCTCCAAAAAGGGCTGCCTGCCACTGCCCATCACGTGCAATGCCTGTGCGGAATTCGTCCCGTTCGCCACTCCTTCGCACCCGGCTTGCTTTCGTCACTCATCTGACTGCGCTGACTGCGTCGCTCCTGTCCAAAACGGTCGGGTTGCTCCACCCCCCAGGCTGGCTACAAGATGCGGGGACAGCTCAGACACGTCGGACCGAACGTGAACGGCGAGCGAAGGGCGAACGGACGGCGAAGCGGGGAAAACGACGACGGAGACCCACAGAGGTGGCAGAAGCCTGTTTCGACTATATAGGTACCCCAGTGGGGTCCTATTATAAGGTCTGAGTGACCGTCACTTGACCTCCTCTCTTGGTAGAAGATGTAGAAGACCGAAGAGTCTGCAGGTCAGGAGGACATGTTTGGCCGGTCAGCACGAGAAGTTCTGAAGTCCGTCAAGCGATTTGAGAACTTTTGATGCAACGCAGGTGTTTTTGGTCATCAAACATTGAATGTTCCTTTGGGTGAAGATCAACAGCAAGCAGCACGTCTCTATCGCTGGTTGCCTGTTTTTTCCATGTGGCTTTGGAAGATGATTCACTGGACCCCCCACAGTGCCATGTCTTCAGGCTAGCCTTCTCAAGGTGAGGCTAGATGCTACCTCTGCACGTGAACAACAATCCAACCTTCTTCTTACCACTGACCACCTTCCAGGCCTTTTTCGCCCACCTGGAACCAGGCCCCCCCTTCCTACTAAGGAGGCGGCCGAGCAGCCTGCGGAGGTCATGGCTGCTGGCATGTCCAAGGCCTCCGCCCCACCCCCTGAGGGCGCCACGGCTGCCGCACCCGACGCCGCCGCGGCGGCGGTGCCTGGGGCGGCCGCGGCAGTGCCGGGGTTGCTGCCGGGAGCAGCAGCCATGATGCCAGGCAGGGGGAAGATTGGCTTTCCAGTCCACATCCTCATTCTTAAATAAGAAAGGGCTCCAGCAGGGTCTTTGAAAGAAGGATTAACAATTATAGTTGTATTCTCAAGAAATTGAGGGAGCTTCTCCGTCCCACCGCAAGAGACTAGCAACTGTTTCTTCTGGCGCTCAGCCTTTCTCCGTGTCAATCGACACAGTGAATTCAAGGTGAATTTGCCCAAAGTTAGGGCTTTCTTTACCTTGAATTGACCCCTCCAGCTTCACTCAAAAATTCTTCAGGTTTGTCGGTTTGTCGCGCCTGGCCGCCAGGTATGATGATGCCAGGGATGATGCCTGGAATGATGATGCCAGGCGTGGAGAACAGAGGCGGTTGTGTCGGCTTGTAGTCCTTTTTGATTTGTTGAAGGTCTAGACGTGCAACAAATCACCTTGGGCCATGGTGGTCATGCATATGGTTCTTTTCCGGGTGGCATGGAGACGCCGTTGTGTGCAGCTGGCCACAAGGACCCTGCAACAAGTCGCCACCTGCGACTGTCAATTCCGAAAAAGCCTCCATTTCGGAGACCTGTTGGAAGGTGCTGGAATTATTATATTAATATATTACATTCATATACAATATCCTGTTGAAAATTTGAGAAAATGGTTGGGAAGATTCTAAAGCATGCCACTCACCCTGGACAGTGGCGCCAATGTTGTAATCCCATGTCTTTTTGGTTTCGACCCCTGAAATGGAGCATCATCCCGCTGTGGGCAGCCTCCAAAGGAAGTCACGAGATGGTTTCTTTCTGAAGGATCGAGTTCGAGTCAGTTCTAGTCTATAGTTTTAGTTGTTTCCAAGTCAAAATCTTCAAGTGCACTTCAGAAAGGAGATGTTTACCTCAGGTATGGTGCCAGGCCTCCTGCCAGGACCAAGCCTCAGGGGGTGTGGCCGTTGTGCTTGTGAGATTGATCTTTCAGCATCATCAAAGTCACATGCTGCGTTGACGTGATTTGTTGAGTCAACAAGTGGAATCTCTCTAAGTCTCCACTGGGTCCTTGGGCGCGCGACTGAGGTGTAACAAACCCAATGATGGCCATGATGATGGGGAACCCAATGATGGCCATGATGATGGGGGGCCAAGGCCAGCCAATTTTGAGATGCGAAACGGTGATGCAAAGTTGTAGGTTGCTCATGTAATTTGTATAATTTCACCAACTGAAGCAACCTTCCAAAAAGGGCCCGGATGTGTCGGATGTCTAATGAGTCCATTCTGCTTGGATCCCTCCCAAAACACGATCGGAACGAGACTTCAGCGCATTCACCACGACGACTCGAACAAAACCGCCGTTCACGCGCCAGGTGCCATGGCCGCCGCGACGGATGGTGCTGCGGTTCCAGCGAAAGAGAAGAAGGAAAAGGTGGATTCGCCTGGGACACCCAGATTCCACGCCAAAGTGGACCATCTCGGAGCTGCCCTACTTGTAGGCGCCCAAGGCCTAGGGCACCGAGAATGAACATGATTGGCCCCGGAATCATAACGTTGTCTTATAGCTTCGAAGGTGAAAAGAGTCTCCAATCACCATACCTCAGAGGGTATGTAGATCCATAAAGTCTAACATTGATCATAATTTGGTGCATATGTGTACTATTTTCTGGGGATGGGGTCATCCACTGTTTGATCCCCTTTGGGGAGATTCTATATATGCTTCCCTGCTTCCCTATTTGGGTAGCCGAAGCTCGGTCTACCCACCCGGGAACCTCCCGACCTCCGCCCTTCAGGCCCATCGATCCTCGCGTGCGCGACCTGTGTCGCGACTTCGGCATCGAGGAGATGGTCGACCCCGTGGCGACGTGAACGGAGCGATGGGAGACCCCAACTGGTGCCATGTGTGTGTGTGTGCGCCATGCTGTGTGTGCCATGCTGTGCACTAAGGATGAGGTGTTTCTATGTGTTTCTTGTGAGGTATTCATGTCAATTGAGTATGCATTCTGGGACTTGAAAACCACAGCAGCCTATGACGTGCTAATCCTGATTGAAGAGGTTTGTCAGGGCACAACCTGAATTTTGATCCCTGGTACACTCAAACACACTCCGGCCGGACAGGAGGCATCCGAAACACAAAAAAAACCGATCAAAAAAACCACATCAGCTGCAGCCTGTCATCCCCCCAGAGTTCGTCCGCAAGCCGTGCGGTGCGCTTGCGCTTCCGCAGCAGTGGCCAGGATCGGCTCATGCGGAAGCTCAACGACGTGATGCCTGGGCGCCTGGAGCGGTCCCGAAGCGGTGCACAACTGGGATATTTGGGGGGTCCATTGCAGGAGGTCCATGTTCATTTGGGAGTGGGGTAGAAGAATGGAATGTGGAATCCACAACTAACACCAGGCGTGGATGGTTGGAAAGTGGAAGAGTTGGGTGGAATTTCTGGGGCTGAACATTGGGTGAAAACATTTGAAAACGCTACGCTATAGATATGATATATTCTTTCGATAGTTTGTGCACGGAGGATCCCCTGTCAAGCTTGGCGACATGGGTTCCACCGCCGTGGCAAACCCACCGTATTCCCGCTTACGGCCACAGCGTGGAGACTGCCAGGTGCACTCACCTGACAAACGAAAAAGAGAAGCCGCCGGGCATGGTCGTAATCATGTTCACTTCACAAAAAGATGCCAAGCACGGCTCAGAATTGTGAAAAATCTCGTTCTCTTCGACTGCCGAGCCGCCCGGTCAACCGGTGTGTTCATCGTCTCCATCGGTCGAACCTCGACCGCGACCGCCCGACGTGCGTCGTGTCTTCACCCGACCCGCCCGCGGCCCAGGATGCGTCGGCCGGACACGTTTGAGGATGATATCAAGACCGTCCGGGCGAGGCTCTCGAAGGACCCGGCCCCCCGCTTCGGGCGGCGAAAGAGAAGCCGGCGAAGAGTCGGTGCGGAAGAGTGCAGGTCTCGGTGCGAGGGAGGCATAGGAGGCATGCGATGCTCTGTTTGGTGGGAGATATTCTTTTTGGGGGGGGGCGCACTTGGAACATATTGGAACGTGTTTCTGCCAAGGGTGTCTCATCACCGGCTGCTCAGCAGAACCTCACGTTTGATGGGCCGAACCACGCGGACCGAGGGTCCGACGGTCCGACCAGGAACGTCCCGACATCGGCGTGCTCATCACGCAGTTGGATCGGGGGATCTTCGTGACGAAACAAAACATCCATCCAGACTCTTGGGCGATGAAGGTGGACTCTGTGGGAAGGAGGCCAAGGAAGAAGAAGGAAGAAAGAAAGATAGACTAAGTAGAGGAAATTTAAAGAAAGAACCATTAAAAAAAGAAAGAAGAAGAAGAAGAAGGAAAGAACAAAAGTAAAGAAAGACTTCCTTCAATGCCGGTCATGGGCCGGGCGGTGGGGGTCGACGAGATGTTCATCGTTTCATGGCACCTGTAGCCTACTTGTCGTCGTTTCGATGGGATGATGGGAGTCCACATAAACCACCTTATGGAGATTGTGGGGTATCTACTCTCCATCCACTCTTTCAGGTCCTGCCACGTGTTTCCGCCGCTCTGTTCGCCCACCGTCGTCTATTGGAAAGGTGGGTGAATCATGTGGCCCATCCTGAAGCAGAATTGACCATGAATTCAACCTGGATTTTTCAAGGGGTGTCCTGGCTGGACTACCCCACACTACCAGGCTTCCAGACAGGGCACCCCGAAAACGGAGGGTCCTAGAACCTTGTAGCTGTGGGTGAAAAAGAAACACCAACAGGACGGCCCACCGACCCGGTTGCTCCAACCTCTGTTGGTCGGTCCGAAGTGGTTTTTCTTACCCCGTCCTGACAGCGTGGACGCTGTTTGGATCTGTTTGGACCCATGCCTTTCTTGAGTTGTCTCCAAAGAACCACCAAACACCTACACTGCCGAAAGCTAACATGAATCCTGAGAATGGTACCCTCCAAGAGTTTTCCGCTAGCTGCACCAGTGGTTTTCAGGGTCGAACTGTGACGTTTTCAGTGGGCTACACACCGGTCGACGTCTCGTTCCATCCCACCACGGCGAGGTCCCGTCTCGTTGCACGGCGATCGTGTCGGGACCGGGCTGTTCGGAACTGTTTAGTTCAGACGTTCCTCTTCAAGCATTCGACATGTAAACACCCCAAGGACAACGTAGTAGACAGAAAGCGCCTCTTTCCACCCAAGGATATGAAGGTCCTTGTTGACAAGTACGATTTGGATGCGCGTGGCCTCAGATTGAGTTCTCCGGCATGGGCAGAGTTTGCCCCACGTGAAGCAATTCGCTCATATTGTTTTGGATCCTGAAGCAAATCGCTCGCAAATGACATGAGAGGATCTGTGCTCGCACGTGGCGGTCAAAGAAAAAAACTCCACGAGATGGTGGTTTCGGAGATTCAAACGTTCAACCTTAACTTTGAGAAGATGTGATCCTGTTTTTTTCAATTGAAACCCACTCATCTCGTCCGTGCTCAACCCGTCACCGTTCGCCGGGGCGCGCGATCGGATCGGTGGCGCGTCCATCGGTCCAGGATCGAGCCACCCAACGGCTCGTTGAGAGCATGCGGAAGAGAAGAAAGACCATGCAGGAGGAGAGAAGCCCATGCTCCAACCCGGGCCTGGTAGCGGAAGGAATAGCGGTTCTCAGTCTGGGAGGAGCAGCCTTTGGGACTATTGGGGGGTCTAGAATGGGCTAAGATATGAATGAAAAGAGTTCAGGCATATTATAGCAAATTACATGTTGTGCAAAGTTGAATTCATGCGTCATTTAGTTGGTAGGAAGCCCTGTGATTTGTTAGTGTGATAGTTAGTTCTGTTGGTTCAATCGCATGTGGAAGTCCCACATGCACACGGACGTGTATCAAAACGTCTCCTCAGGGGGAAGGTCCAAACCGTAGGCTCAGTGTAGACCACCACAAGCTGGGTGGAGGTCTTCAAGCAGCTGGGTGGGTCTTCAAGCTCAAGAGATGCGATCTGGTGCCGAAGCGTCACCCTCCGTTTGGTGGAGCCCCAAAACGAAGTCTCCATCTCCAAGAGATTCTTCAGTATCCACAAAGGAGGATTCTACTGCGTCACCAATTGATTCCTGTCAGGGAACTGTTAGGGCCTTTCCCAACCCATTTCGGAGACCTGTAGAAGGGCGCAGTCGGGTGCGAGGATTCCGTGACTTCCGTGAGGCTGGACGTCGACCCGTCGGCCAGGACCTCAAGGCACTGGACATCCGCCTCAGCAGTGCCGAGCGGCCTTCGGGGCTGTTGATGACCTTGCTGCAGGCGGTGGTACTTGGAGGAAGGGTAGTAGGAATGGTATAGTAGGAACGGTATATAATAGTATAGTAATATAGTATAGGCGGTGGGAACTAGCTGTGACACATGTTTTTGTTTGTTTTTTTTCCGAAGAGCCGTGAGTTCCGCGGCGCGGCTTTGTGTACTTGATGACTTGTTTGGGGGGGTCTTCGTCCGGCATGCCTCAAGAAAGGACCTAGTTAGGCATCCGCGTTTGCAGGCACGCACTTTAAATAGAACAATGAACATCAGTCTTGAAAAGTCCATGGTGTAGTATATGTCTTGATTTGTATAAATATGCTATTGCTCTGCACTTGCTCAACGTTCGTTCGCAAAGCACGTCGTGAATCTGCTGCGCCATCCCGTCGGGCCACTCGCGCGGACCGCAGGGTCTGGACACCACCGGGAAATTGCCGGCGCCGCCCAAGTCCTTGGGACTCCCAGGTGGGCGCCGCACAGCGCGCGCGCTGTGTGTTTTGGGGGAGGTCAAAGTGGGCAGTTCGCGCCTTGGAGGGGCCTCTTTGGGCGACAAAGGACAGACGATCCAACGTGTTTGGGGCCACTTTGGTGGCTCAGCCAATCGCCCGTTTTTGCATCGCAACGGGCGATGGGGCCGCTTTCAAGCAACCAACTTAGGCAACAGGAAACAGGGCTTGTCGCGAGGCCTTTCCGAAAAAAAAAAAGCCCAACATGTGGTGGTTGCACGTGCACAGAAGATGTTTTGCGGCCAAGACACCCACATGCTCCGTTCTGTATCAATGAACAGAACCATACAGAACCTATTGAAGGCAACACCATCTATGTTTATGCTCAAAAGGGCCCCGAAAAGGTGCTTGTCTTTGATCGAGTGGATGCTCAGAACGAGTTGGAAAGCATTTCCAAGAGAGAACGTCTGGTGGATGCTGGTGTGTAGTCATCCTTCTTTGTTCAAGGATTGGAAAAGGGATGCTGAATACCCAGTACACCACCAATACATTCAGTCTGTTTATAATGAAGCATGCTCTAGATTGCAATGGATCATTCATTTGAGCACCCCTTTCAGATATCTCAGGTGCACAATGGACTGAAACAAGTTACAGTAGGTAACAGTTTGCCAGCTGTAACCCTTGCCAGCTGCCAGCTTGTTCTCCTCGAAGACGGGAGCCACGTTCACGTTCACACAGGCAGCTATGGAATGCGAGAGCCACGGGAGTCAGAGGACTGACAAACAAGACACGAAGATACCTTAGGACATCCTTAGACCCCAAATGAAGCTCCTTCTTGAGCAAAGTTTGGAAAAGTCAGCGCAGGTGTGTTTGTGATGTCTAAGGCAGCATCCGTTTGTCCTTCCAGATGTTGCAAAGGTGTGGTAACAGCTGAGTGGTTAGCTCTTTATCTTATAGGTGGTGTCATTTATGAGGTTCGTTGAAGAAAAGCTCTAGGTGAGTGGATGGAACACGAAAGACTGGAAGTCTCCAAGAGAGACACGAAAGCGTCCGACGCCGGGTCCTCCGTTTCCTTCTCTCCGACCAGGACAAGAAGGATCGCGACCGAGACCGAGACAGGGATCGAGCGGCTCGCCCCACGAAATCCGTGTGAGAGAGTGATTTATTGATTCAGAAGGGGCAGGGATCGGTGATAGAGAAGCTCAGAGATGGTGTGAGCACTGAAAGTGAAAGTTCAAAGCAATGTGAATCTCTGTTCTTGCCAACGGTGGAGTCTCTGAAGTTGTGGCACCATGTTCGGGAATGGCGGAACACAATATAATATTGATATCGAAAAGCGCACACAAACTTGACTCATGGCAAAGAGCACGTCAATTCTCTCCTCCCCTCCCATCACTTCATCCCAGCGCCACATGCCGCGTCCGAGGACCGAGAGAAGAAACGCTCGCGCTCCCGGCGGCGACACTGATGGCAGCGCTGTTCCGTCGCCAGGAAGGGACCATTCTGAAGCAAGAGTGCAACAGGTATCAGAACCGCAAGTCTTAGAAATAGATAGAATAGTAGTATCTACTGCTGCAAAAGAGTAAGAACAATGGTATTATGTAAATAGCAATAAACATGGTCAAATATGAACAATTAGCAATATGTAACACTAAATACCAGGATCATCCAATGGGTGTCCAATGGAGGTCCATATGTAGTCCAGAATTGTCTATTGATGGCCCATTGGATGATCCAGGTAATATATAATATATATGATACATAGTTACAATGCTGTCTCTTCGGTGCTGACCATAATGTCCAACCGACAATGTCCTGCTTCTACAAACACCCGACATGATTTGACGAGCGTGTGCAGTTGAGCACGTGAGCGCAACCAATGAAATGTGAGGAAACATTGGCAACCCATTGTAAACCTGAGTCTTTAAGAACGTTTCCTGCTCTTGGGCCCCTTCACCGCTGTCATTCACCTTCCAGTTCTTTCCAGTTAAGAGGTCATTGGCTTGGGTAAGAGGATGATGTTGAAACGCCGAGGCCTGGGTTAGACCACCAAGTCGGCCACACGACCAGTCCGGGGACTGCCGGACGGCCGGACTGGTCGCACGGCCGTGGACTGGGGTGGTGGACTGGGGGGTCTGTCTGGGGCGGGCATAATGACTCATGACAGGTATATGACAGACATGGAGTTCCAATTTGTATATATGACTCATGGCTATGCGTTTCACGCGAAGCTTTTGGTACCCGAGGTTCCTCTATGTGTTGTTGCCATGTCTCGATGAGTCTCCATGTCTCGTCACTCTTCCTTCATCGGTTCGGTCTTCGACTGCGGCAGAAGGCGTTTCACAGCGGTGGCAGAAGGGCAATAGGACGGAGAGTCGGGGGTTGATAAAAAAGGAGGCGCTGGCTGTGTGGCTGTGGTTTGTTTGGGTGTTTCCGGAAGTGCACTCTTGTGCGAGAGAGAGAGAGAGAGACTGTGTGTGTGTTATATGTCGTGCTAAAACCTTTGAACTATTCACCGAACAAAGGAGCGGCACTTGGTGAGAAATCAAAACATTTCAACAAACATTGACATCACAAAAGCTGATCAAAAGTAGTTTGGCGTAGGCTTTAAATTGAGAGGACCCCCGCCGATTCTTCCAGCGTCCCGAACTGAAGAATCGGGAAGTCTCATGGAGTCTGAATTTATGGTTCCCTGAACCTGACTGTGCCCTGATGGCATGAACCTGCAAGGATTTCCCTCTTCAGCCGGTGAAAAAGGTCTCATGTGGGTCGTCTCGCGTCGCTGAATTTCCGTCGCTTCATGTTGCTTCGTGTCCCCTTCTTTTGGGTTTTAAAAGAAACCAGACATGACCAGACTCCCTTTCTTTCACCCTGAAGTCCTCCTGTGGGACCGACTTGGAGCTGCCGTACGACCGATGGGTTCCTTTACGTTGATCTTTTGGGAGGGTGATGTCTCAAGCTCTCTCCCTTGGTGTCTGAACAGCAAAAAGGTCCTCAGGATCCGGCTTCAAGGTCGGTCCATTTCGCGCATGGTGAAGGGGACTCCATGACCATCCCACTGTATTGGCGTGATATTCCCTGGAGCTCCACTCTCCTAAATTACATCCGTATAGAATCCTAGGTCAAAAGCTCAGTGTTCTTCACCTTTTTGCTCCAAAAGAGAAACAGTGCGAAAGGGCGTTCCACTGCTCTTCTCAACGGCTCTTCTCCCGACATGGCGGATTATGGCACCGGGAGACAGGCTGGTTGACCCATCGAACAGAATGGACTTCCTGGGAGGTCAAACAGCCAGAGTTTTGATTCGGTTTTGACATCTTTCTTTCTGCGTGTGGTGGTGTATCGCCCGACGAAAAGCCGCATCATGGGACGTCGCCAAGCCCAGCCCGGCGTCCGAATGTCGAAAAATCCATGAAGATCCACTTCAAACACACACCAAGAGAGAGCTGATTCCGCTCCAAGGATATCCATTTGGCCCTTCATTTTGGCACCATCCCAAACAGCCCACACAAACAGGGTAGCGGCTAGCGCCGCTTGTCTCGACGTCTCACAAGACGAGAGTCGACGACGTCGCGGGGGGTGGCGCCACGGACGTAGCTCCATGGCCAGTCAGACGGGTCGAAGGCGAGACCGGTGAAGACGGTGTGTCGGGTGCGGCGCCAGAATGACTGGTCGGTAGCGGCGTACATGAATCGAATCACCGAATATCACAGATGCAAAGAAGATCTAGTCAAAAAAGACACCAGGACTTACACCACAACAGCTGGGTGTAGCAAAATAAGATGTCGAAAAAATGTCTCTCTATCTCGTTCTATAATATATGCCAGGATCTTCCAACTATGCCTTTTGGCTGTGTTTTAATGGATGAAAAGGCAGAACTTTTGCATAGTTGGAAGATCCAGGTATTTATATATATATATAGACAGAATGTGTGAATTTCGAACCTTGAAGTGACTGAGGACCTCGCCACATGTGTCAACCAAGGTTTCATGCCGTCCGAAGCGGTGGTGTTTGGGGTGGGTCCTTCGTCCTCCCAGAAGCATGCCCAATGTCTGGTGTTGTGTCCTTGAACCAGCAAGTGCGCTGTACAATTGCCAATGATCTCAAGTCCAAAGACCCATTTACTATGACCACGTCAGGTAAAATGAGGTCATTGACCTGTAGATCGGCGCATCAGAAGACTGAGTAGAGGTTTCCCTTTCTGGGGGCCTCTTCCATGACTTGCGCATAGGGCGCATCAAAAGACTCAGTAGAGGGGCCTCTTCTATGATT